AGTGGAGTCATCACAGGATTTAAGCTGTGGATCACGGTCATCAGTTCAGATCTAGGGGTTCGGAAGGCAGGCCTTGGCTCCTGGGCAGCATCCTTGGGGTGAGGAGCAGGGCAGAGCGGAAGCAGATCACTCAGGCAGCAAATTATAGGCTGAATTGCTGTAAGAATAGAATGCATTCTGCGAAGTGAGTGGATTGAAGAGACAGCCAGCAGGGGGACTAACAGGGCTGGCTGACAGGTGCCACGTGGAGAGGTGAGGCGGGGCGGGCAGTGGAAAGCAGGTGGAGTGAATCTGTGAAAAGTCTGTGCCTGGGGAAGAGAATGGAGTTCGGAAGATCTGTGGTCTTTTCAGATTGTAAATTCTTTAATTTGCCATCGGATATAGCCTTCAAAGACAGCTCTGTAATTAAAACTTGAGTAATTTAGCCCTCACATTTGAATAAAAAGGTGTTCAGAAAAACGGCAGAAGGCATCACATTTACACAAACGCCCTTTTCTGCACTGTCTCCGAATTGCATCCCTTCCCCTCCCCGTACAGCCTCCCCAGGGGAACGGGCCTGGGTCTGCTGCCGGACCTCAGAAGGAAACTCGGGACAGCTTACTTAAGGCCGATTTGATTTTATAGTACTCCTTGGATTAATTCCACACGGAGGACATTTCCTTGCAGTGGGATTGCTTGTGATGGCGGAATTTGAGCAGACGTGGCTGCGTTTCCTGTGCATTGCTCTCTCGTTCCACAGGGACAGGGACAAAGCCTGCACAGGTACTCGCTCTTGAACTTGGTGTCTCACCACACACAGCCCTTCCATGTGGCGGAGCTGTAAAAGGTGCAGCGGGCACTTTGGGGTCTGCCCCTGAGCTGGTGTCTGTCCTCTCTTCACTCAGAATTCCCTGCCCCTCTGTTCACCTCTGTGCTCGACCCAGGCCTGCAGGGCTACTGTTTGATGTGAAATACATAGATTTCACTCTGCCGCCTTCCTGTTTATTTTCTCTCTGGTGCTGACAGCTGTGTGTGGGGTGTCTGTGACCACTCCTGTGGAAGAACAGGGTGCAGGGTCTGTTGGGAACGCTGGCTGAGCCTCGTGACCTGAGCACTCAGTTCAGTTTTCATTTTGTCTTTAATCCCCAAGGGTCTGTGCACACCTATTCACAGGAAGTCAGGATTCGACCTTCCCACAGCTCAGGATGGAGACATCGTTAGGAGTCCCGTTTGGGAAGGAAGGGATTAAAGCCAAGGAAGGGGCTCCGCCAGGGCTTCTCCCGGGCAGTGCGGTGGGGCTGGTGAGGCTGGAGTCTGCCGCTGTGAGCACCAGCCCACACTGTCACCGCGGCATTTCCTGGCTGGTTGAGGAAGAGCCCGGAATGTTCCTTTGTCTGTCCATTCAGCACTCGACGGCGATTACGGTTGTTTCCGCCTTTTGGCTGTTAGGATGAATTCTGCCGGGAATGTCTGTGGACGAGTTGTTGGGTGGATGTCTGTCTTCGGTTCTTTTGGGTCCGTGCCCAGGACTGGAATCTCTGGGGCCTGTGATCATTCTGTTCAGCTTCTTGAGGAACCACCAGCCTGTTTTCAACAGCGGCTGCACCACTTGGAATTCTCATCTCTCGTTGGCTGTGTGTTCTTTCACCCCCTTGTTGATACTTAATTTCCTTTTCTTTTTTCCTTAACTTGTAGCCATCCTGGTGTTGGTGAAGGGACACCGTCTCATTTTGATCTGATTTCTCTAATGGCTGAGGCTAAGCATCTTCTCTGTGCTCATCTGTCCTGTGCGCACCTTCCTTGAAGAAGTATCCGTCGAAATCCTTGGCCCAGCCCGTTTCTCGTTACTTAGTTTAATGTCACTACTAGAGGATTTGCAGTCCCCGTGTGTGGCTCACACGTTGCTGTGGGATTGCACTGCTCCGGGAAAGTCTGAAGTTGCCGAGGGGCAAGAAGATGCCGCTAATGAACGCCTCATATTTTCCCTTCATTCTTAGTGTCAGCCCCAGGGGTTGAGTTTGTCGTTTTCAGGCTCATCTCCCTGAGGCACTAACAGGACCGTGGCTACAAAGACGTTACCCAGGCCCCTGAGTGAGTGCCAGTGGGTCGAGGGGAGAGGTGGTCCGGGGGTCCTCTTCAGGAAGGCTCACCTGCAGGGCATGTGGATTGTTTTATTAAGCCAGTAGAATACAGCGGTGAAAGTCGCCTCTTCCATAATGCAGTCAGCATCACACCTCAGTGAGCTTCTCAGAAGTTAGTATTTTTAAAATTTAGTCATTTACATCTTACTGAACTTACAGAACATAATTTACTGTAGATTTACTGCTTTGGGAATTCACTGTGAAATGTTGAGTTCCTTTTCTAGGAATCTAATGCAGAAATAATTTGATCAACTATACGTGTTTCCCAGAATAGAATGGCTACAATGAAATTGTATGTGGGAGATTCATCTTGGATCACCTGAGTTTAGTTTCCAGTTACATTCCGGTGGCCCTCGCGAGCCTCCTTGTCTGCTGCCGAGCGTTCCCCGGGGACGGTCCGCACACGCCAGGACGTGCAGCGCACCAGCAGACGGAAACCAACCGGGTCGTCTAAGAGCAGGCCGTGTCATTCATCTAAAATAGTTTCATTTAATGCGGTCGTCCTTTTCTTCCTGTTGAACTCCCCGAAAACCTACAAGTGTTTTCATTATTTTCCTGAAAATAATTCAACAAGATCTACAATAAATAGTAAAACTGCATATAAAAGCTTGATGGCATTTTAGGATCCTTTTCTCATTTACTGAAGTGGAGACCGTATTTTTCCATGGAGGAAGGCAACTAAAATATATTTTCTTTGGGAGAATAAAGTCACATGGGAGACGGCGGTATCTTCAGATATTTCAGAGCGCGGCCAGTTCTGAATCTCCCTAAACGCCCTGATACTTGCAGACTCCAGTGTGGGTGTTTGGGGTGGGGGCCGAGGGGAATGAGTGGAGAAGGGTCAAAAGTCAAATTGCTGTAATTTAGAAATTATTTACCCAGTGGATAACAGGTTTTGAGATATGATCAGTATGTAATCATTTAAGTGTTTCCTTTTTCTGTTTGTTTCAGCTCCGGTGTTCAGAGGGAGGGAAGTTTTGATGTCTAGGCGAGGTGAATTTTAAGTGTACAGTTCATTGGTGTGTAATATAGTCGTGTTGTTGTGTAAAAGATCTCTAGACATTTTTTATCTTGTAACACTGAGACTATGCCCGTCCTCCCCCCCTGGCCCTTGGCAGCTCTCCACCTTTCTGTTTCTGTGATTTTGACGGCTCGTAGCTCCTTGACTGAGTGAAATCCTACAGAATTTCCTTTTGTGACTGGACTGTCCTCAAGGTCATGAGTCACTCCTTTTTAAAGGCTGCATGCTATTCTGTGGTGTGCACACCCTGCTTTTCCGTAGAGGGTCACGGGCTGCTCCCAGCTCTTGGCTCTTGAGCATAGTGCAGCTGGAAAACACGGGGATGCAGGTGTCCCTTCACGGTCTTGCTGTGAGTTCTTTCAGCTGTATCCCCAGGAGTGAGAAAGCTGGATCGTATGGCCACCTTTTGTTGTTTTAATTGAACGTGTGCAGGCCTTTTCCCAGAGCAGCAGGAGCTGCACGCCCTGGAACCCTGTGGCCCCGCAGGTTCTCTTCTCTGTGCTGCTCCTGTAGGGGGGAAAATGTGTAAATGTGTATAGTGCTGGCATAGAACATCCATGAACACCCCTCTGGATGGTCTCTCCGTGAGAGGTCAGTCATACGGGGTATTATCACTGTGAGCCTCGTCTGTTGTACCAGGAAGTGTTCTGCGCTCAGATCTCACCAAAATAAATGCCGAAGTCGTCTGGTTAGATTTCATTCCTGGGGTCTAACCACCTTTCTTCAAAAACGGTTCAGGCCAAAGAAAGTGAGGGCTGGGCAGAGAGGGCCAGGAGGACCCCAGAGGCCCAGAAGGGGGAGGTGGCGTGTGTGTCATCGTCACCCTTAACCAGGGAAGGGACAGAAGTGTGTCTGCGGGTCATGGGCAGCACACCCAGTGTGCGGCATTGTACGATCTCTGTTGGACGAGACGCAGTGAGGAACTTCCCCTGGCCCTGTACGCACTGCGTCCACAAATCAGCACTCACCAGTGTGATGCGCTCTGGTACGTCGTATTCTAGTCCCCTCGTCTGGTTTGCTTGCTTTTGGCCCTGGATGGATGGGTGCGGTCCACTAGATTGTTGTGCTATGTGGGGTTTAGATCCAGTTTGGCAAGTAGTGATGGAGAGCTCACTGCCCGAGCCGGCCTGCTGGGACTCAGGTCTGGCTTTGCCTGTTTGCTGTTGAGAGAGGCACGTGACCTTGAGCTTCCTAAGCAGCCTGCGCTTCGGTGTCCTGGCCCCTCAGATGAGTGATACCCGGGCCCTCCTCCGAGAGCTGGTTTGCCACCCTCAGCAGAGCACCTGCTGTGAAGTGGGTCCTCCTCGGTGTGTGCAGGCTGCTGGTCACACTCACCTGCACGCTCACTTTTCACCTTTTTTACAGTGTTATCCTGAGTCCCGTGTTGCCTTTTCCCTCCTCTGTCAGCGGCATCCCCAACTTGGTGAAACTGTGTGTGAACGCTCCGCTCCGGGAGCCTGTAGACTCTGTGGACAGAAGGAAGAGGCCCGAGAGTAAAAGGACTCGGGACACTGTGCTGGTGGCGTGCTCACCAAGGCCCCGTCTCTTTGCTCTGTGAGCCAGCCTGGAATTCAGAGTTTGACTTGTGATTGAGGATGTGACTGTGCCCAGGCTCCCCTCCCCAGAGAAAGGCCAGAGCCCCCACTTCAGCCAGGCAGGGCTGGGCCTCGCACGCAGGAGCAGCCTGTCTAGGAGCTAAGGCCCAGCCTGGGGCCCGGGCTTCCCTTCCGACATGTGCGGGTTTGGGGGGAGGGCCGCTCCCTTCCTTCTCCCTCCTCAGCTCCCCCAGGTACATCTTACTGGGGCTCCTCTGAGTGCTTAGGTTCTGGGTGTTCATTCTGTGTTTGTCTTCCTCGCAGGCGATTTTGGTGAATAATATCACCGCAGGCGAGAGGCTCATCAGAACCCTGCAAGGTGAGCTCCCCCCCCTCTTCACACCAGACATCGGGCCTTTAAGGACGGAACCCGCCTTTCCTCTCATCCTTCCCTAGAGTTTCTCATCCTGGTGTAACGACGGGCGTGATTACAAGTGATGAAATAGTCTTCAATTCATTCTTTTTGTCTAACTATATTTTCTTAAAGAGCTTTTTCTTTTAAAATGTTAGTGAATTGCAGGCTGTTCTGTACAGAAGAAGTTTTTGATCTGTTGGGGAAAAAATACGTATCTCCCTACACACATATCTATGGTATTTTTGTGACTGGTTTTATGTGTGTGTATGTGTGTATAGCTAGCATATATACAGGGTGGGACAAAAGTAGGTTTACAGTTTTAAGTATGGAAAATAATACAATAATTAATAAATAATACAAGAACAAACTATGTTCCGCCCACTCACAGTTGCAAACCTACTTAGCCCCATGCTGTAGTTCGATCGGGCAGTGCTGGTCTAGATTCTAAGAATATTAATAGGGAGGTGCAGGCTCACACCAAGTTCAGGGGGTTACTTGGCTGCGGGGTCTTCTCAGAGCTGATGTTCCTGGTCAGATCTCAAGAAGGGAAGACGGCCTGCTGCCTGTCCTGTACGGTCACCTGCTGCTTAACGACCAATACAGTTTGGGAAATGTGTTGTTAGCTGATTTTGTCATTGTACAAGAAGCATGTGGAGAGCGTGTACCCAGATGGTGTGGCCTGCTGCACTCCAAGGCTGCGTCATACGTATTGGTCCATCGCTGACCAAAAAGAAACCTTGTTAGGCAGAGCATGACCATGCTTAGTGTTTTCAAACAGCTGCATTACATACAGTGAACAACACATATTTAAAGTGCAGAGCTGGACAAGTTTCGATGTAAGCGTGCATGTCAAGAACCCCCACCAAAATCAGCACAGTGAGCACATCCGTCACCCCCAGAAGTTCCTTCATTCCCCTTGGTCCTCCTCCCCAGGGAGCCTCTGATCTGCGGCATTAGGGTAGCCTGCATTTTTTAGTTTCACGTACATGGAATGGGACAGTATGTGTCCCTTTTTGTCTGGCGTCTTCCACTAGGTGTGCTCTGAAATTCGTGCCTGCCGACGTGGGTGGCAGTGCACGCCTCCTCACTGCGGGACAGCGTTCCGCGGCCCCCTGCTCAGTTTGCCTGTGGAATTTTTGCGTAAGGTTAGGTTTATTGAACTGTAACTTACACACAGTAGTTCTGACAAATGCAGAGTCCCCTAGACCCCCACTGTCCCAGCCAAGACAGCCCATGCGTCTGCGACTCCAAGAAGTCCCCCCAGCCTTTTGTGGTCAGTGCCCGCGCCCACCGCAGCCTCAGGCACCCACTGAGCAGTTTTCCACCCCACCCCATCCCTGTTTTGTCTTTTCGAGGTCATACGTAAATGCTTTCGAGATGGATCTGTTTTCACGGACTCCTTCACTTCATTTGTTCCCCCCCAGAGAGCCTTGCAGGGCTAGAGTTGCAGAGACAAGTCTTGGGGACCTCGGGGCTTCCCAGGGCTGTGCTCTGGGCCCTGGCTGCACCGCCTGCCCGCTCTGGTATCACCTCTGTGGCAGCTTGTCCCTCCACCCTCAGCTTGACCATTTGCCAGCTGCTGCTTTTTCTTGGTAGAGCTTTTACAAGATTTTTTTCAGTGTTTCTGTAGCACCTCCTCCTTTTTCTTTTTCAGTTCTTATCAGACTTGTAAATATCTATTTAATGTCTCTGTTTCCTACTATGCTGCTCTTATGAGCCAACTTGTCCTGGCAGTGAGGATGGGGCTGAATTTCCTCAAAGAAAGCTGCAGTTTCCCAGATAAGAGGGTTAGATTAAATGACACGGGCCTCCGAGTGTAGCTTGGCTGTGAATAAATGATAGGAAGGGTGCAGGCAGGTAGCCTGGCAGTCAAGGATGGGGGTTTGGGCAGGGGCGCTGCCTCTCTGACCAGGTGTTGAAATCAGTGGGGTACACGGTAGCATGTGTGACCTTGTGGGACAGCTCAGGGTTTATGATGTCTGAAACAGAAAACAGGCGTTTCAAGGGTTGGAGGTCAAAAAGGAGATTTAAGAGCAGAGAGACATTTGGAAAATGAGCCTGGCACAGGCTCCCGTGGGATCGTCGGTCTCACAGGGGCACCGTGGCAACCGGGGTGTCGCGAGTGCGAGGAGGCGTCGTGGTCCCATCCCTTCCTCTCCCTCCTCATTCTCTGGTGTGCTGCCGCCCTTTGTGTTCTGGCTGTGGGCTTTGATGTGTCCGCGGTTGTCCCGAGGGCCATCCTGGTGACTTGTGTGATTTCTTGTCCTCCTCTTGGCTTAGACCAGCTGAAGGCCCTGCAGAAGAATTTCGGCAAGCTGCAGCAGGACGTCCTCCAGTTTCAGAAGAACCAGACCCACCTGGAGAGGAAGTTCTCCTATGACCTGTAAGTGTGCGCGGCACCAAGTGCATGCCCTCGGGAGCCGCTGGGTTTCAGGCCGAGGCCCACAGACGGGGTCCGGCCTGTTACGGAGCACAGAGGGCTGTGGGGGGGGGGGGGTCCAGCCCCTTCCAGGGGCCAGATCCTTCCGAAACAGCGCCTCTTACATTTTATCTGTCAGCAGTGCTTCCGAAAGCCGTAGAAGTGTTCGCCAGTGGGTTCATTGCACAGGACCAATAAGAGGGCTGTTCTCCTCAGCCGGAAATGACTTACTCAGCATACTTTTAAACTTAATGTAATTTAGAACCCTATAAGGCACAGGTGAGCTGGGTAAGTCAGTAAATCTAAAGCCTTTAAAAATGTGTCCCGGAAGTGCCCAGATGTGACCTGAGTCCAACTCCCGGACTGAGAGGCGTGTTAGCGTATATCAGCGGGATATATGACTTTTGTTTTTCTTCAGACTTGGAGTTTCTTTCCAAATTTCCACAGTGAGAATGGAGTTACGTTTAATTTTCCAGCTTTATTGCGGCATGATCAACAGATGTATGTATTTAGGGTATAAAACGTGATATTTTGATATACATTGTGAAATGCCGTTCCCGGTCAAGCTAACCACCCATCCATAATCTCCCACACGCACCTTTTTCTGTGTGTATGGTGAGAACACATTAGTTACTCTCTTACAAATCCCAAGTGTGTAGTACATTGTGCCTAACCGTCATCACCATGCTGTGCATTAGACTCGGCTTAGAGCTGTGACAGCACCTTCAGTCACATACAAAACACTGCAGCTTTACTTATTGGCGTGTTTTTATGATCTAGACAAAGCAAACTTCCAAAGGTTAGCTAAACCCGTAAGTAAGAGAGTAAAGAAACAATTTTGAGGGTAGAGAATGAAGTTGTCGTTGGTGTATTTTTTTTGTTTTCCTCATAAAACCAATATAACCAAAGGTTATTGTAACTGGCCTGACTTTAATACCTGTAACTTTTAAAAAGTTATTATCTTGGATTATTTCCTTCTAAAAAAGACTGAAATCTGGGTTCGGTATGTCATTTGGTACAAATTGCCAAGTTGGCTTCTGAGAAGATTCTGGCCACCTGCGTGGTGCCTGGCAGTGCTCCACCCCTTGTAGGGATTCCGATGTCTTCTGAAAGATTGTCCGCTCACTGTAACATCTTCCCGATCCCTTTAGAACCAAGTACAACTCAAACCAGGAGCCGCCAAATACATAAACACGCAAAGGACACGCGCAGTCAATGCTAAGGAACATACTAAGCAAATGTGTGTGTGGAACCTCATTCAGCTAGGCCAGTGGTTCTGAGCGGGTGGTGTTTTGCCCAAGGAAACTTCTGGCAGACAGTTCTGTTTGCCACAGCCGAGGAGGGTGCACCAGCGTCTAGTGGGTAGAGAGCAGGGATGCTGCTAAGCAGCCTACAGGCGCAGGGCTCCTCCACCAACAAAGTTTTACCTGCTCCACGATCCCAGTACTGCCGAGTTGAGAACCCGGGAGCAAGGCTGGCAATCAGCGAAAACTTTCAGACAAAAATGAGGTGCCCCAGTCTTGTCCGTCTTTGACGCACAGATTTCCCTTCCACTGACTGGATTACAGTAAGCCATTAATTAATGGCCTCACTTAATATACGTGACCCAGAAGATTGTAGCCGGGAGTCAGCCACGGCCTCGCGACCGGGAGGGCAGCTCCCCTACCCGGGTAGGCGCCTTCAGACGAGCCGTGAACGGCGTTCTGAGCGGGGCTGGCCCTGGGAGCGGGAAGCACCGGTTTTCTCTCGGGCAGTTGATGGGTTGAAAACTCTGGCCGAGCACATGTGGTTGTGTCCAAAGCCCTGAACCAGAATCCAGGTGCTTCCCAGGGATGATGTTCATGGAATGTTGAAAGCAGGAAAGAGTTAGTTGTTCTTAACTTTCTTTGGATTGTAGACCCTTGGTGAGGATCTGATAAGAGGTGGGACCGCCTGGGTTTGTAGCTTTATAAACGGATGTGTACACAAGGTTGTGTGTCAGGGTCCCACAAATTGAACACACAACTTTGTGTGTCCGTTTGTAAACCTGCCCATCCTTCATTAAAACACCCTCTCTGGTCTGAGAGGCAATGTAGAGAATGAAGAAGCTGGTGGAAAGGCCAGGTCTCCTGATGAACAAGTTGGTGCTCTGACTTCGAATATGAGAGTCAGCGCGCCTTCCCCACTTCTTACACCCACCCTGTGGCACCTAGGGGTGGTGTGTGAGGCGAACGGCCACCGTCTCATCCCCGTGCCCTGGGGCGGTAGAGTTGGTGGATGTAACCAGCAGCACTCTGACAGTAGCCTGCTGGGTAATCAGGTCAGCCACCTTCGTAGGTTCCCGTACTGAGCATGTTCTGTTCACAGTCTTCTGACTGTGCCTTGTACCGGTTAGGGTAACCTTTGGTGGCCACGTCTTGTACGTGTCCACGGCTTAGCTCCAGTTAACACTGGAACATTTACTGTGAGCATGTAAGAAGGAGTCAGCCTGAAGCCTCCAGGAAGTAACTGCACGGTTTGCACCACCTGTGCCTCAGACTTTGAGCTCCGTTCTGAGGTTGTTCCCCTCGTTGCTGTCCAGCTGGAATTCAGAAAGCTGATCTTAATCTGCAGGGCGGGGGGGGGAGAGAGCCTCTTCGTACTAGATTCTGGCAGGGCTGAGAGCAGGTGAAAACAGTGCTTCCCGTTTGTAGGTTTAAAGGTCTGAGAGCTGCCCTGCACCTGCTCCTTGGCTGATCCTGAGCTCCTGTGAAATTGTTGGGGAACAAAGGAATTAAGACACGTCTAGTTCTTTAGTGTGCAGATGCCTCTCTTTTTGTTCGTCATGCTGAAGCCACTGGGCACTCACTACTCTACCACCTGGGGCTTGCATGTGTGTGAGAATTTTATTTAAATGAATTTTTCACCAAGTCTTCTCTTGATCTACAAGCTGTGTGAGGTCAGGAACTCTGACTTTCATCATTTCTAAAGTACCTGATGCCCCTCTGTGTGTGTGGCACGTTGAGGTCCAGTAAGTCCTTTGAACTGTCAGGTACATTCCAAGAGTTAGCTGTTGAGGGCGCTGACACTTGACCCTGAAAGGCGTGTGGCTCAGGGGTGGCTGAGTGGTAGGGAAACAAGTCTGGCTTCTGGTTTCAGCTTTCTCTCTCTCTCTCCCTCCCTCCCTTCAACCCCCCGTCACCTCTTAGCTTCCTTATTTGTACACGTGGGCAGTTCTCTCAATTACTGTATGACTGGCACTTGAGGTAACTCTTAAAATAAGTTCTAGGCAGGAAGCCAAGTGACACCTCGGAGCGCCAGTCGGTGCGGCCGGGAGCTCAGGCTGGACTGGAGCGCAGGTGCCGCGGGCAGTTCTCCCGCCCCGGCCGGGCCTCTTCCCACTCGGTTCAGCTGTTTTATGTTTCAAAATGAAGTGAATTTTTTGAATGTTAGACTTATTGCTAAGGTAGCACAGGGAGTCCCTGTGTGTCCCGCAGCCAGCGTCCCCTGTTGCCGACACTTTGCGTCTCAGTGTGGTGTACTTGTCACAGTTAATCCACCGATGTAGGCACGTCTTATCAGCTGAAGTTCACACCGCATCCAGATTTCCTCAGTGTTTCCCTGATGTCCCCCCTGCCCCAGGATCCCCTCCGTGACCCCGCGTTGCATGTACTCGTCAGGCCTCCTCCGGCTCCTCTCGGCTCTGACCGTTTCTCAGACTTTTTTTTTTCTGAACGATCCTGATAGTTTTGAGGCCCACTGGTCAGTTATTTCGTAGAATGTCCTTCAGTTGGGGTCTTTCTGATGTTTTTCTTATGGATACACTAGGGCAGCGCCTTCTTGCGGGCAAGGCCACAGAGGCAAAGTGGCCTCTGACCGGCTGGCACTCCAGGGACACAGTGTCAGTGTGACCGAGCGCTGTTGGTGTGAATCCTGGTCCCCCGACTGAGGGGTGTTTGTCAGGTTCCTTTGCTCTCCAGTTACCCTGTGTTTTCTCCCTCTGTGCTGTAATCTTTGGAAGAAAGTTGCCGTGCGTAGGCTACACTTAAAGATTGAGGTGTTATGTTCCAGGAGAGAGAGAGAGAGGACCTGGGAGCCGAGCGCTCGGTTGGACGGGGCAGGTAGCACCGTGCTGCCCTGGGGGCAGGTGAGCAGTAGCAGTGTCTTGGGGGTGGGCCCTGCTGGGAAGTCTCCCCCTTCCCAGATTCTCAGGACACGGATCTTAGGGCTTCAGTTAGAGTCACACTGGTCCCTGAAGCTGTGTTTTTGGTTTGCTTTATTAATGCCCCCAGCCAGTTTTTATCTCTGTGTTCAGGTGGGGTAACATCTGTTGTTCTAGCTTCCAGTTCACTGATTGTTTTCTTCGCTGAGTTTTTAAATTTTGGTTTTTGCCTTTTTAAGTTCTGAAGTTTCCATTGATTCCTCTTCAAGGCTTTTGTTTCTTTCCTAAGACTTTGTTTGTTTTCGTTTTTTTGTTTTTTTTTTTTTTTGCTGAGACTGTTCATCTCTTTCACTTGCCTCAATCACGCTTTAAACGCTTGTTGAAATATTTTTCTGGTACCTGCCTCAACCTCTCTGGCAGAGCATTTTGTCATGTGGCGGCTGGTGTTTCCCGATGGTCCCCCCCCCCCCCCCCCCCCCCGTCAGTGTGAGATCTTCCTGGTTCTCCACGTGACAGAGGTCTTTGCTAGAAGCCCTGGCTCTTCACTGCTGTCCTCAGGGAGAAGGGGGGAAATGCTGGTTCCCGGGTACTCGCCACAACACCACTGTGCGGTCCTTCGGCTCCGAGGTCCCCGGCTGGTTTGCCTTCTTCTCTCCACTGTTCAGAATCTTCTGTTTATTTTACGTATAATGGCCTGAGTTTTTAGTTGTGCTTGGTGGGAGGAATAGGGGAAAACACCCCTGCTTCATGTTCCTGGAAGAAGAAATTCACTCAGTTTTGACACCGCTCAGAGTCCACACAGACCTCACAGATTAAGGGGCTCAGTCCTGTAGGACCGCCCCCACCGGCTGCCTCCGCACTAGGGCTCCCCAAAACCCCTCAGGTTCACCAGATCTCTCTACCAGCTTACAGAACTCAGGAAAGTTCTCTTCTTACAAGTTCAGTTTTATTATAAGGAATACAACCCAGGAATAGTGACATGAAATGGTAGAGACTCGTAAGGCAGGGTCTGGGTGAGAGGGGGCAGGAACTTCTGTTGGAGTTGGGGTGTCACCTCTCTGGGACGTAGGTATGTTCACTAACCAGGAAGTTTGCGGAGTGACAGAGTCCAGAGTTTTATCTGAGGTTTTATTACAGCAAGACGACTGTTTCACAGGGTTGCACTCAATCTCCAGTCCCTCCCCTCTAAAAACGTGATTGGTTCCTCTGGCCACCAGCCCCATCCTTGAGCTTTGAAGGTTTAGTGCGTCAGCTCATTAGCATAAACTCAGGGTCTGCAGGGGCTCATCATGAATAACAGAAGCCACTCCCTTTACTCAGGAAACTCCAAGGAGCTCTGTGCCAGTAGCTGGGAACAAAGACTGAATTTTTTACGTGTTTAAAAATGTTTTTTTTCTAACCAGTAAAGTTTACCTGTTTTAGAACCAGGCAATGTATTCTTAGTAAGATTCAATCAACTACAGTGTTCTTGTTCTTTACTAGTCGAAAACACATGTCACCCTGCCTTTCGTATTGTCTTTAGATAAACCACCTGCCCAGCAGAAGGATGAGCGTGTCTCTCGAGGAAGTGGGTTTCCCAGTGACAGCAGGGACGCGGGTGTGTAGGCAGCCTGTAGATATTTGTCCTCTCCTTCTTTTCCCAAAGGAGCCAGTGCATCAACCAGATGAAGGAGCTGAAGGAGCAGTGTGAGGAGCAGATAGAGGAAGTCACCAAAAGGGGGAACGAAGCTGTGGCTTCCAGAGACCTGAATGGAAGAGGGGGACACAGCCCGCAGGTAATTCTGGGTTTTTCTGCCACAGGGTTCCAGACGGCATCTTGTTACGTTACCTGCTGTCCGGTTTGCTCCGTTCTGGGCCCTCGCTAGCAGGTTTGCTTCTCTGAGGCACGCAGGCTGGCCTTGGGGTGCTGGCACTCGGAAGGGGGGTAGGCTGCCCCTGGTCCCAGGCCCGTGCTCCAGGATTTCTGCATTGAAGGCTCACAGCCACCCTGGGAGAGAGTCGCTGTTATTTTCCTGCGCCGAGGGTGCTGGGGCCCATGAAGATGGTTAACAATGCTCCAGCCAGGGTCGCGCCTCCTGGCAGCGGGGAGCCCGTCGGAGCCCATGCCTCGGGCTGCGTCCTGTGTGACGCACAGCCCAGGAGAGTGCTTCTGGGGGATCTTCGTTTTTGTTTTAAAATATAGCAGCTTTATTGAGATGTAATTTTTATACCATAGGATTCACCCATATACTATATGTACGTGTCATTTATTGATTTTTTTAGTATATTCACAAAGTTGTGAAACCATGATTACTATCAACTTTAGAAGATTTCCCCTCTCCCCAAAGATACCCCACACTCATTGCCTCACCTGTCACTTCCCCCAAAGCCCCAGAGCCCTCGACAGCCTTCTCGTCTCCGTGGAGTGGCTCGCTCTGACATTTCGTATCAGTGAACTCAGCATACTACACTCAGGGGCCGTGCTGTGGTAGCTTTATTTTTTATGGCTGAATAATATTCCACTGTATGACTGTATCGTTTTCTCTATTCATTTGTTAGTTGATAGTTATGTGTGTTGTGTCCAGTTTCTGACTGTTGGGAACAGTGTCCCTGTGAACATTCAGGGACACATTTTCCTGTGGCCCTGTTTTCATCTCTCTCAGGTGTAGACCCGGGGGCGGAATTGCTGGGTCACGGTAACTGTTTTTGGGTATCGAGAAACTGGCAGACAATTTTTGGGCCCACTTTACAATCTCACTTAAAAATAATATTTTTTTATTTGTGTATGGTTAGTAGTGTTATCCCATTTCATTTTTATTTTTAGCAATTTGAGTCTATTTTTTAAAAAGATTGTTTATTTATTTTTAGAGAGAAGGGAAAGGAGGGAGAAAAAGAGGGAGAGAAACATCAATGTGTGGTTGCCTCTCACGTGCCCCCTACTGGGGACCTGGCCTACAACCCAGGCGTATGTGCCAACTGGGAATTGAACCTGTGACCTTTTGGTTCACAAGCTGGCGCTCAATCCACTGAGCCACACCAACCAGTGCAGAGTCTGTTCTCTTTTCTTTCCCTGTTAATCTGGCTAAAGATTTTTCAATTTTGTTCATGTTTTCAAAGAACTAACTTAGTTTTATTGATTTTCCCTATTGTTTTTCTATTCCCTATTTAATTAATACCCTTTCTCATCTTTACGATGTCCTTCCCTGAGTTGAGATTAGTTTGCTCTTGTTTTGCCAGTATCTTAAGGGGAGAGATCACATTATTAATTTGAAATCTTTCTTTTTTCTTAATGGAAGCCTGTAAATTTTTCTCAAGTACTTTCTGATTTGCCTGGTGATTTTTTCTGACCAGTTGTTATTTAAGAATGTGTTGCCTAATTTCCACATATTTGTGAATTCTTCAGATTTCATTCTGCTATGATTAATCATTTTATTCCACTGGATTGGACAACATTTTATATGATTTCAGTCATTTAAACTTTGTTGAGGTTTGTTTTGTGGCCGAGCACCTGTCACAGAGAACACAAAGTGCGTATTTCGCTGCCGCTGGGTTGAGTATTCTGTCGCTGTTTGTTTTGTCTGCGAGGTCTGGACTCACCCTCAGATCTTCTGACTTATGCCAGGGAGGGGCACAGTCACGGTGGACGCTGGCGTTTCTCAGGGTTTCAGTGTCCTCATTCGTCAGAAGGACGTGGTGGTCCATTGCATCGCTCTGGGTCGTTACAAGGCTTCTAGTCACGGAGCCCCCGCCCTGGCCACCCTGTGCTTCTGTTGCAGCTCCACGCAGCCAATGAGACTCAGCCGCGGTTGCAGGAAGCAGGCCTGTCCCAGGCAGAGGGGCCACAAGCGAAAGGAAACATGCCCAGTAACAGCAAGCCCCAGACACCAGCCCCCAGTTCAAAGGCAGCTTTGGACGTGAAGGAAAAGGGTGAGAAAGGTAAGTGAAGCTTGGTCATCACATGTTTGAACCCTCCTTGGAGCCCCATTTGAATAAAAAAACAGTGGCCGCTTAGACCCTCCACCGCGAACAAAAACCCACATCCCAGGGCAGAGAGACTGCTGCTGGAGGGGCCGCAGGTGGCAGGGGTCTCTCTGGACACCTGGAACTGGTGCTGCAGGGCGCTTTGTTCTGCTGCTCTCATCCCGGAAAGTGCGTGCCTCGTTCTGTGGTAGCTGGGTGAAGAAAGGTCTAGGCTGTGCCTTTATTCAGGACGCCAGGGGGACCGTGGGCTCAAGGGGAGGTGGCCGAGTCCTGTACACCTGTCAGCGGCTCCCACATACTTGTCTCAAAAATACGACGGTCAAGTAACCTCAGCAGTACACCTTCCTCCACTTCTAGGTTGCCACTGTAATAGGGATAACTTGGTCTAGATGTTTTTTTCTTAAGCCACTTTTCGCTCCCTCATGGCTCTGAAGAGGAGCCGGAAGTGTAGAGAAGACTGGAGTCTTCTGCCGAGGTCATTAAATAAAGGGCCCAGCTGCCCCAGCCGCCCACAGCCCACCTGGCCCCAGTCCTTGGGAGGGCTCTGGGAGGTGGGTGGCATGAGGGTTTTTGTTTAAATGAAGTGAAGTGCCAGTGAGGTCACAGCTAACAATGTTCTGTGCACAGAGGAGACCAATGACATTCAGGTCGGCAGTGAGGAGGAGCTGCGGAGGGACAGCCTGGGGTTGCCCCCGCGGCCGAACCAAGAGCAGGCTGTGGAGGAAGACAGACGTGCAGGAGGAAGAGCAGGGGAAGACGCTGGAGACCTCGGCCCAACCCCACAGGGGCCAGGCGCCCTGCTGTTGAGCCAGGAGAACCAGGAGGTGGAGGAGCCTGAGCGGGACCAGCTTGTCGTCCTGGATGGGCAAGAGGAGGAGCAGGGGGCCGGCGAAGAAGGTGGGTGAGAGGCGTTGCGGGCCACCCGCTGACTGCTCTCCCGGCTTCTCACTGACATGCGAAGGGTTTCTGGGAAGTTCATTCTCTTTATTCAGTAACCGTGGTCAAGTAGGAGGCAGGAGGGGAGAGTAGTGTGCTTTCTGGCACTTAAGAGTTTTCAGAAATAATATTCGCAGGGAGTGAAGGGGCATTTCAGGTGAAGACCTCCAGGGTGCTTAGTATTGATAAAAGGAAGGAGAGAGGAAGAAAGAGGGGAGGCATGAGGAATTAGGTAGGAAGTCATTTGCAGAAAAGGGACATGTGAATCCCACCTTTCTCATTTGGTTGACTTCTCTCTTTTTTGAAGTGTGGGAAACAGATCAACAATATTCTGGGATGTATTTCGGTTTCTTAAAGATGTGAAAAATTTCAATCCCAGCTGAGCCAGGAACGCTTAAGTAGAAGATAGCTGTGCTCTGGGAATGACCAAGTAACAGAAGTTGGAGAATGCGCCTGTTTGTAGAAGTTATCCTGATTCCATTTAAATCTAATTTTCGCTCAAGTTTCTCTTTCTGAAGAATGTTTTCTCAGTTCAAGAACTGAGCCCTGGCCACTGTGGCTCAGTCGGTCGGGGTGTCATCCCGGAACCGGAAGGCTTCGGGTCCGACTCCCGGTCAGGGCACATACTTAGGTTGCAGGTTGATCCTGGGCACGGGCGTGCGTGACCCCCAGTCCTGACCTGTATTATCCCCGGTCTGGGCACGCGTAGGAAACAACCAGGTGATGCTTCTCTCTCTCCTTTCCCTCTCTCTCTAAAAAGCAATGAAAATAAAATGTCCTCCGGTGGTGATAAAAAAAAATTTACTAAAAAAATATTGAAAAAAACCCCTCAAGCGGCTGATTCGGTGGCAGACTGCTGTCATACCACTCAGCGGCTGGTCACAAAGGCAGCTGGTGACACAGCGTACCAGCCAGCAGGGCTGCAATGCCGCAGGGCTGCGCCGTGTTCTGGGCACAGTTGCAGTGTGGTCTGCTTTGCAGAATAAAGCTGCAGGGCACACAGGCCTAGCTTCGTTTCCGCTTCAGGCAGTAAGTGCAGAGAAGTATAACTAGAGCTGACTTTTCCAGCATGCCTTAAAAAAAGGTTTTATTTATATTACGAACAAATATAACATGTTTACATCCAACCCTGTGGCTCTGTCTGTTGAGTGTATTTCGTCCTTTTCTGGCCGCTGGTCTCTCCAGGGACGACTGCATGACGGATGACCCGGTTCCGTGCATACGATGCAAAGTCGCGTCCTTTGGCTCACAGCGGCCGCTCGTTTCCTTCTTTTGGAGCAGTGAGCTGTGCTAAGGAGATGCCATTATAAACCAGGAACCTGTTGTTTCCAAAAACAGTACTGTCTTCTTCTAACCTCAACTTAGAAGAATTTGTCTCTTTAAAAAACCTGGGATTTCGATTCAGCTAGCTAGGTGTCCCGTTTTCTGTGGACTCTGAGTTGAAGTGGACGTACGTACGCAGAGACCTTCCACGTGCTCTGTACTAGCAGCAAATACACGAGTCCTGTCAGTTCTGAGATGCAGACAAAAGATCTGACTGCAGCCACAGCCAAGATAACCCCAGGGTCTGGGCTCTGGTGCTTCTGTGGCGTCAAGAGAGAAATGACATAGTTCATCGTGCTTTACGTGGCTGCACTAACTTTACAGGGAGAAACCAGCCCAAAATGGGAAGAGTCGATGACTACAACATGGATGAAAATGAGGCCGAATCGGAGACAGACAAGCAGGCAGCCCTTGCAGGGAACGACAGAAACGTAAATGGTAACAACCGTGGCGATGGGGGTGGGAGCGCCTCCTGCTGGGTGCAGTTGTAATGGGGAACTTGGTGGCCCTCCACTTTTGGAGTGACTCCACAAGGAATCCCAACAGTAGCCTGGTAAGTGAGCATCGCGTGGAGGCCTTCTTTTCTTCAGAAGCCTTTGACTCTGGGGCAGCGGAGGGAGGCGCAGGGTTCAGGAGCCTGGGGTGAAGACGTCCCCCTGTTCAGTGGGGCTCAGGCCCTCCGGAGGGAGTCAGTTGGAGGACGGTTTTAGTGACATTTAGGGATTTTCCAACAAAATGGCCAGGTCACCATGTGATCACTCTGGAGTACCAATCAAAAAGTCCTAATAAATATGCACGGAGCTCCAGGCAACTTCCTGTATTAACACTTTGTATCACTATGATTTTGCCTTTTGGAAGAGTCCAGGCCAGTGGGATGTATCAGATTCTGGATTTGTCTTTTGTTGTGATTGGATTCAGGTTGGACATTTTTGCAGCTGCAGTGTGTCCCTCTTGCTTTACACCAGGCAGCATGTGCTGGCAGTTGATAGCTTGGTTAGGGGCTGCCCACCAGGTCTTCCCCTTGCACGGGTCCACTTTCCCATGTAATGTGTCATGTCATCTAGAATGGGATGCACTTTTGGTTTTTATTGAGATTAATTGACATACAGCCCTGGTTAAGTTTAGGATGTATAAGGTAATGATTTGACTGCTACATACATTGTGAAATGGTCACCACAGTAAGTTTAGTCAGCACCCATCATCTCGCAAGGATACAAAAGTCTGTTTCCTTGCAATGAGGATGCTTAGGGTGCACTTTTTAAGTACACGTGTGTGGTAAGGCGAGTTGCTGACTTCCATCACCATGCACAACACACCCCCTTACAGGGGGGCTTCGACATGGCACAGCTTTGCCATCCACCAAAAACCCTCGTCTGATGGTGACGTCCTGATTCTGTCACGTTCACGTGTATTAGCCGTCATTCTCTAAGGACCCTCTGGCCTCAGCACACACACACACCGGTTTATTATTGCTGTGAACTTAGGGATTCCTTTAACATTCTTATTTTTTCTATCAGATTCTTGGTGTTTTAATTTGGTTTTAAGAGTGCTGTATATGCAAGAGAGATTGTTCCTCCTTTGTGGAGGAAAATGCAAATACTTCCTCCTAGTCTGTCTTGATTTTGTCTGTGGTGTATTTTGCCATGGTTTTTAAAAATTTTTATCCTCATTTGCATAGTACCTCAGCTCTTCAATAGCATGTTTTCTACGTGGTTATGGTCTCAGAGCCGGTTACCACATGTTTATGTGAGCCAAGTGTCATCCTACATGTTTGGCTTTTTGCAGTGGAGGCTTGTGCTTGTGCAAAGCTTTAAAAAAAGTGAGGGAGGAAGCAAGACAGGATGAATGCTCTGTCAGCTCCTTTAAGAGTTTCAAATTGAGGAAATGTCAACATCATTTTAAGATTGCCCCTGGAATAGTTGAAGGCCGCACTTGCACTGGGTAGAGAAGAGGCATTAGCTCCAACTTTATAAGACAGTAAGTAATTTAAAGCAGTTTAATTAATAACATGATTAGAAATTTAATGTGTAATAGTTGTAAATATTATATTGGCTTTAGGTCTTCTTTGTGACATGTCTCTTCTGTCGTCTGTTGTCCAAGGATAGAGTGAGGGTGGTGGAAGCCACCGTTGCCTTCAGCTGTGTGAAGGAAGTTTTGGGAAAATGGGAGCTGTCCAGAGCTGCACATGCCTCTTAGGAGGCCGCGTGCCTGCTGGTGGAGGGGCGTGAACAGAGGGAGAGACAGCATGTGAGCATCGTGAAAGCATCAAAAACTTTCTGAGAATAATTTTGTTGTTTTATGAGACATAGGGTATACTTCACTATTTGACACAATACGGTGTTTTTAGATGTTTTGGCTTTGTTTCCTGGAACCTTGCTGGCCACACACATGGTCTTGTTTGCTGTCCTGTCCTTGGTAGGAATGGGATTCCCATTGTAACGTGGCCATGGGGATAGTCTTCTTTATGACAGTTCCTACATGCTTAGGTCAGATGGGACCTGCCTGCACTGGTTTCTCAAAATGTTTAATTAGAATATTATTTTTTCCTTTTTAGTTCTTAATGCTGAAAATCAGAAGAGAGACAATAAATTTACTTGATCAGCATGAAGAGGAATCACATACTCTTAATCAAACTGGAATCACATACTTCGTGTCAAGATCGAACAGCGATAACCAGAGTCTTCACGAGGAAGTGAATACTGTGAAATGTACTAAGTAAAATATACATCTGAAGATGATTATTGTGGAATTTTAGCATGTACTTTATGTAGGAAAGGGAGATTGTCTTTTCGACACTTTTTGGGGGTTACTTTTGAAGCATCCCTATTAAAGATGTTAAAGTTTGTTGGCCGATAGGCATTTCATGAGATCAATGCCAAAAATAGAACACAAGTTCTCCAAGTATATTGACAGTGCTTCTAGAATGTAACTGTGTTTAAAATAAGAGCAAGCCTGTAGGAAGAGTCCACCTTCTGATGCAAAGGGGTGGTCTGCTGCACTTAGAAACTCCTTTGTGTTCCGAGTCATTCTCTTCCCCAGACGCTGTGGCGAGACAGCACCAGCCTGTCATTTCTGTTCTCCCTGCTCAGCACTGGATCACGGGTCTGCTCTCGCCTGTCCATTTCTGGTTCCTGCACTCAGTGGCCCGGAGCCCTGTTAACACCTACACCACTAACAGCAGTTTAAATACCCCGGTGTTCTGTGGGAGGATTTGTAAAGACTACTTGTATAATAGCCCTTGTATTAATGGTAAGTGGGTTGTAATTTGAAAACTCGTGATCTATACTTAGCTAGTATGTGTGGGCAAACCAAAATCTTCTGTAATTAAGTCTATTGTATCACAAAATGCCGAGTGGATTAGACTTTGGACACAGTGGAGGCCAGAGCAGAGGTGACCCCAGGTGCCGGCTGCAGAGCAGAGGGCAGCCCAGCACTGCAGGGCGGGTTTGTTGGGGACAAACTGCCAACATCACTGGAGGGAAAGAGGACAAAGTTGATGTTGAAGGGTATGTACTAGTTTAGAAAGGCAAGAGAAATGTTGATAGTGTTTTTGTCATAGTTTATACATTTAGCTTGTAACAATGAAAACTGACTTAACAATCAAAAGTTAATTTTCATTTGAAAATGACTATCAATTTACATTGATAATAGTGATATTAGATTTGGCTTGTATTGGTCCTTATGTTTCAGGGAAGTAGGCTTTTGCCTCTTGTGAAGGACTGGCAGAGCCACACAACTTTTATTGGGCCCTCTAAACAAAGGCTAAGTGGGTGGTGGCACTTACTACAAGGTGTTTGGGTTTGTAGGAGTTGAGATACGGTCTCTGCAGGCCATGTGGCAGGACGCCCTCCTTTTCCGAGAGGAGATGGGCCCGAGAAGTCGGGCACAGCTGGCCGCACACCTGTGTGGACGTGCTGCGCTCCGGCAGTCCCTGAAGGCTGGCCGTGCTTCGCATTTGGGTTAAGATCTCTACCTTGAATGTCCTTCATGTGTAACATCCTTTTACCACATCAATAAGATTAAACCTCCTCACCCAGAAAAGGCAACTGAAGAAGTGTAAAAGTAGCTTTGTAAGATTTTATGTAAGTCCTTGTCCAATACCCCTCTCAGCCTTAGGGATGATACGCTCTCTTGCTTTCTCAAATAAAGCTTCTGTTCATCTTGTGTTTAATCGGTGTGCAGAGAGTTGCTGAGAAATGAAATAATTGTTAGTTCAGCTTTTAAAACTGTTCCCAGTTTTCCCTCCCTGTTTGATCCCTAAAGAAGCAGCTTTTAAACTGTGGAGATGGAATGTCAATTTAAATAACCCATGATGACTTCATCTGCATTCACAGAGGCGCGTCCGAGGGCGTTCATTCGGCAGGTGTGTACTTGAAGCTTCCTCCCAGCGCTCCTGCTTTGGTGCCGCTGGCTCCTTTGGGATCACAGGCACCTATTCCGAGGCAACAGTTTAGAGGTATCACAGCTGTTTAAAAAAGAAAACAAAAATCTGTGCAATAAGCATCAAGTAGGTATTTGACCCCTGACCTTGGTCTCTTGGTGTTATCCAAAATTAAATCAGCAGCTATTCCAATTTTAACTGGCAAACTCTGTTTAATTCCTGCTGTCTTCTCTCAAATGGTGTTCGCACAGGAGTGAAGAGTCATTTTATCTTTTCTCGTGCAGGTAAGACTGCAGGTGGAGACCCCGTAAGCAGCCTTGGATTAGATTTCCTGAGTAATCTAATCATGGCACATACTTAATGTATGTACCTTGGTGTGATGAAGTTTGAGAAATAAACTATTCATTATGTTGATGTTAAATAACCAGACTGATAAACTAGCATGACTGTTTTAATTGGTTGAGAGCTGGTTATCCATTCACAGTAAAACCTGGAATGGTTAAGAGAATTCAGGGTCCTTTATGGTCCAGTGGGAATTAGTCTAATAATCTTTTAGGCAAAAACATAATTGGAGTAATAATAGAACAATGAAAAAAGATTATTTATAAATGATATTTTATAGGACACTGAACAACTGCTAACATGTCTTTGAAATTAATTTTAGGAAAAATACAGATTTAAAAGAGGTTCCATTAACTGGGTTATATTAATTTTTTCTCCCCATATCAGCTTAGACCCTGCAAATGTTCATTAGTGTCAAAGTTGGGGAAAGTTTATTTTCATTTTGTATTTAAATGTGTATTTGTAGGCTATTTCTTAGCTCAGAGAGCAACACTTTTTAAAGTGTACTAAGCCAGCCCTGGCTGGTATAGCTCAGTGGATTGAGCACAGGCCTGTGAACCAGAGGACTGCAGTTCGATTCCTGGTCAGGGCACATGCCTGGGTTGCAGGCAGGTTCCCTGCAGGCCAGTTCCCAGCAGGGAGCACACAAAAGGCAACCACACATTGATGTTTCTCTCCCTCTCTCCTTGCCCTCTAAAAGATGAATGAATAAAATCTTAAAAAAAAAAGTGCACTAAGCCACTTCAAATCTGGTTTGTAAAATTCTGGTATGTATACACTGAATGATGTGCATCTCTGGGCAAGTTAAATGACTTCGAGTAGTCTCATCTTTAAACTATATATACCGTCAGATAATGAGTTTTATAACCAAGGCCCTAACCAGTTGAGACAAGTGCTTGTTCTTTATTCTTACTCCTTGGAATAAAGTGCTACCTTGTCCTGAGTTGAGTGATACAGTAAGTTTTGCTTATATAACTTAGATGCTTACAGAGATTCCAGTTCTACGATGGGTGCTTGGTAAATATTTGACTCTTAAACCAAATGAATGACTGTGACTGATCAGAGATGTGGTCCTAGATAACCTAATTTCCCATGTAACTGAGGTCTGCCTTTAGGAACCTTCATAAACAGATTTAGACAAACAAATGCCTTTTGAATGAATGTTAATCACACAGACATTCAGATGAAAACCCACTTAGCGGTAAGAGGTAAGCCAGAGTCTTTGTGAATGAGCTCCTGGATTTTTACTCATGTATCTCTCTTAAAGCTGTTGTGAAATGGCAGTAATGGAATGTCCATTTAAGGGTGATGGACCATATCTGCCTTTATCATATGTTCATATTTAAGCAGTCACCTAACTTTTAACTCTCAAAAAAAGCTGCATTATTAACATTTAACATCCGAGTATCACTTAAGATCAGTTGTGACCTCAACTAGCCGCCTGCAACTACCAGTCTCCCCTCCCCGCCACAAAGGAAAATCTTGTTCTAGTTTCTTGAGATGGGCTCATTCAAAAATTATTCTAGAAGTCAACAGGTGATCAAAACAAAGTACCACACCTTCCTTTAAGCATGGCTTAATGTTTGAATTATAGACAAAAAATTAGATACTGTATCTGTATTTTTGCAGGAGTTTAGAAGTTGAGAGTTGTTGAATAACTTTACATGACCTTCCAAAGGCTGATATACCCTCTCTAAAAAAAATTTTTAATCCTGACCTACGACATTCGATTTTAGAGAAGGGAGACAGAAACATTGATCAGTTGCCTCCCATATGCACTCCAACCAGGATTGAACTCACAACCTTTTGGTTCACGGGATGATGCTTCAACTGACTGAGCCACCCAGCCTGGGCTACATCCTTTTACAAAATGTAAGGAATGGAAGCCACTGTTAGCAGAGGACTAGAAAACCTACAGTGTAAATGAATGCACAGGTGGACTGGCTTGGTGTCTCAGCCTGGTCATTTCAGGTCTTCAAAAGCAAAATTTTAAAATACCTTTTGCAGCTGTAGGATGACAAAAATAGTCATTTCAAGTTTTATCTATGCCTCCTTATGGCAAAAGCAACCGGTTCTGGTTTCCCTACTCTCCTTAAGATTTGGAGGTATGATATACCAACTTCTGCTTAGACTGCTTTGCAAATGTCAAACCAACCAATTTCATCACCTGAAGCAAACTGTTTAAGGCAAGGCACCAGACTCCAACCGGCTGCCTCCAAATTCCTCTGCACTTCGAGCAGCCCTGGGTTCTCACCCTCAGGTGTTGCCCCTGATGAAAAAAGCAGTCAGCCCACTGCCCCGGAAGCCTTGGTGTCCTGTTTGTTCCCGTCTCTATTCAGTTTACCCCAGGACGGCTCAGTGCCATCGGGATGTGCATTACATGTTGAAAAACCCTCATTCCATCATTTGCATGAGCAGGTTGTAGATTGATGAAGTCCCTTCCTCAAGTTTATATACTTGGAAGATAGCACTTTTAATTGTGCTATCTTAGAAAAAGTACTTTTGAGGGCCTTGGTCTAAATTTTAATCTTAAAAAGCACCAAAGTAACAGTTAAAGACGTATTTAAAACGCATTTACATTCTTACAGGTATATAATTTAAGATGTCATGACGCATAAAATCACAATCCTCATGTAACTTAACCTTCCTATATAGCCTAGAAGTCCCTTCTAAAATTCCTCTGAAATGGATTTTGCCAAAGTCCCATAAAAGTGTTTTATAAATCCCTTGGTTCAAAACTTCTTTGGGATGATTTGTTTGAATTACTCAAAATGTTAAAGAGTAAACACCTTCAGTTCTTAACACGTATCAACAAAGTGCTATTGTTTTCATCTCCAGTAATACATTTTTGTCAAGAAATTTATTAACCTTTACAAACACTATTCTCATTCATAAAAAATGATTTACGATTAAATCTGTAATAAAACCATACAAGGTTCCTCAATGCATTCAACCAGACCAGTGTTACCCATGGACATAATAAACCACTTTAAAACAGCAGTTTTCATTCATGTCATATAAGGCTGTCAAATTAAAAGAATTCTTTATAATGGGTTTTTATCCATGAAATCCATTTCACTTCATATTAGGTGGTAAGACTGATGGATGGATCCACTAAGAGTAGAAAGTAGATTTTACCCCTTTATGGTCACCCTTCAATCTCAAACAAGCTTCACAACAGGAAAATATTTGTGAGCGGAGAAATCAAATTCGGGAGGAACCTATAAAGAAAATCAGGAAGTCAATGTTATCTAACAAATAGATAGTAAACAATAAAGATTACTTTTATCTTACAGTGTCTTGTATTTCTAAGGATAAGGCAGCAGCACAACACAGATTTTTTAAAAAGCTGGTTAAATGACAACTAACCTGGAGGGAAAAAAAATAATTAGCCTATTTCCAGGTTTACGGAGATCACTAGAAAACAAGCTGACCTGTTTTCTCTTAGAATAGTTAAGAAAGGAAAATGGACTTAAATTACAGGAAAGGTCACAGCTCAGTAAGTTTGGTTCCAGTCACTCACTGTACTGAACGACGAGATGAGTGTCATTGGTAAAGAAGGGCAGGAGGTGAGACGGAAAAACTGGGACTAAACAAAGGCACATATAACAGATGCCACCAAAGCTGCCTCAGCACTTGGCTTCCAACAGATGCAGAACCTGTGTTGAATGTCCATACAGCACTGGTGTTAAAACACTACCAAGAAAGCTCACGGAATCATCCATATCCTGCGCCATTAAAAATAACTTATATTGAAGCATTCACTTTTCTAAACACAGGTGACTTTTTAAGTACCTCTTTCATAACTGTATCATATACATTTTCTTTTTTACCGAGTCATTTGGTAATTTACGTAGGGAGGGGGAGGAACAAAAGGGCAGACTTTTGAAAATTTAAAACCTCTTGAGGTAATTTTTGAGTGAACTCTTATAACAATACTTGTACATCTTTTTGAAAAAAAGTGAAGTTTCAGAGTAACTTAGGCCCCCGTCTCTCTGCCCCACAGTGTGCTCACCTTAGACTCCTTTTTGTGTCCTCCTGCCAGTAGCTTCATAACCACAAAGTTGGGTTTGGCAACCTTTAAAATTCTACTGACCTAAACAATGAGCAACATTAAATTATCAAAACATAAAATGCGTAGTCAAAATGTCTTTATAGATAGGAACTTTGTACAATATCAAGTGTTGATATTTTATTAAAGGTAATTGTAAAATACATTAGCAACTCTTTACAGAATAATGCATTTCAATAGAATTAGTTACGTAGTCAATTGTGAAAATAATGAAAGCCTGAAACTTAATATTTGCAAGTTTTAAACTCTATAAAGAGGTATCTCCAAATAAAGTCACCAAATACAATAGACCTTTATTTTAAACGGTCAAGTGGATAAAGTGGTTTTTAATTCCTGTGATAAATGACCAGATCATTTTTCAGATTTAAATTTGAATACAGTGAGCTATAGATTAAGATATTTTAAATATTAACATTTTTGAGCAATGGATCAATTTGGATCTTATTTCTATTCTTCGTGTTTCTAAGTTTTTTTTTTTTTTTTAACATTGATTTGAGAGGAGAGATTGACTTGTCCCTATGCCTCAACTGGTGGTCTTCTTGCATGTGCAGAGACTGAACCGGAAACTTTGGTGGACCAGGCTGATGCTGTCAGCCAGGGCCCAAGGTTCTAAGTTTCAATCTCTCCTTGCACTGATTTCTAAATTTATCCACAGAAGGTATTTACGTCACCTCTCCCATCAAATAATTTTAAGTCTGACAAGGTTAGATTAGCAAAGCCATTTGAAATCCTTGGCAGAAACATGATAGGCTTCATTTATTAATTCTATGAAGTTCATTTTTGTAATTAAACTGTCATCCAGTAGTAAGACATGTACTTCCCACCAACCTTCTCCTCTAGAATTTCTGTGACCGCACTCTTACCTCATGGTCTGGGTTTGGGATGTTTTCCAGAATCATTTTCGCTTGCTGGAAGTGCTTACTAGCTGCCACGTACAGATCTGGAGACTGCGGGGGAGGGCTGTATTTATTGAGGTCAGACATTTCCTAAGAAGGGGGTGATACTATTATTCAAAACATGTTTAATATGAACAACTTTAAAATATCTTTTAAAATTAATTCTACAATGACCATCCACATTTGTAAGTACAACACTGAAGGAAACATTCAGCGTGTACCTATTTTTTCCTACAAAATAATAAATTCTCAACCTTCATATACTACCTCATGTTATTCTCATACTTAATGGTAAATACATCTGGAAAAAAGCCAAGTAATTTTGACACTATTTGAAGTGGTTGTCCTATTGGTTCAACAGTCTGATTTGACTATTTTAACAAAATGGCCGGCACAAATATCTGGGAGAAGGTCTAAGACTTAGTATTTTCCAGGGACTTTGATGAGCACGTTCACCTTGAACTGCAGATAGTGTACTGGGGGTGGGGTCATGACGCTGTTGAATGGAGCAAATCTGTGCTCATACCGCACTTGTTCACTATCAAGTTCAAACTTGGGTTTTCGTACTTTGCCATCCATGTCAAATGCTACCATGGTCTAAGGAAAAATAAGAAGACACCAATATGAAAAAGTGAACATTCTCATTAATTCAGAATAGAAAACAGGGGTTTACAGAGAGCTAAAACAACTTAAAGCTCAGAAATCAGAAATGGAGAGAAAAACTGGCTTTAGTATTCATTTTTATGTTACGTGCCATCTTTTACGTAAAAAGTTTTCAAGATCTTGTGTTTACGTTACTCCTTTTCCCTGTGAAATTATACCAGGTGCACATTTTTTCCCCGATGTTTCATGCTTTATAAAAGCTTTGAAACTTTCAAATAAAAGCTGAAGAAACAAGTAGCATATAAATTATTGTAAGATAAGAATAGGTCCTGTTTTTCAAACCGGAGTCCATGTTCTATGTATTTTAATATGTTACTTTAAATCATTTCTTGAATTGCTCAGTACAAGTGAAGACTCAGCACTCACCACACCTCCTTGAAAATGCCTGCTTTTGTTTATGCTACGCATTGTGGAGCCCATCCCCTTCCCACTACATTCCTAAAATTTCCAAAGCCCATCTCTTCCACGAAACCTTTGTTGATCATCAGCCAGAAGTAAACCCTTCTCTACCTGTGTCACACAAGTCACCTGGCCTGTTGTTAACTAGGCACCCGAGAAAAGGATCAAGTCTGATTAGATGTGGTCTCCTGTAAATGTACTTAGTACATGGTATCTGGCACACGTGAACATGGGTTCAAATATCTGGTAAACAATTTTAATAAAAACAACTAGACTTGGAAAAAAGCTAATTTCAATAAAATTTAATAAAAAGAATGAAATTAGAACCTAGAAAAAAATGTTAATTAAACTATGCAATAGCAATCTAGTTAAAAAACAAAAAACTTTTTTTTCCAACAACTTACCTTAAACATTCCAGCACACATGTTCTGATAGGCCTGGCTCATTGTGATTTCTCGGCTCAAAGGGCGAACTGTAATTAAAAAAATCACCTATACTCATTAACCCTTCCTCCTGCATTACTGCAGGAGAAAATCTAATTTTTAAAAATCTTCCACCTTGATTATTAAACTTCCAAATAGTTTGTTCCTGCAGGCTACATGTTATTTTATGGCCCAATACAAATAATACTGACAGGCTAAACAAAAATCATATTTCCCAAATGGCTAACACCCTAACATTCTAGTATTAAGTAATTTTACCTTCTGAATGCATCACACAGAAACATTTTTTTCCATAGCAATTTGATATGTTTAATCCCAAATGGCTATGATAGAAGCCACTTCTTTTATTTTTCAATTACAGTTTACATTCAGAATTATTTTGTAGTAGTTTCAGGTGTACAGCATAGTAGTTAGACAATCATACTTTACAAAGTGATCCCCTGATGTTTGCAGTACCCACCTGGCACCACACATAGTTCAGACTTATACAGAAAACCTGTGAACAATTGTCCATGGGTTTTCTATATAAGAAACCCATGAACAGCCTACCCAAACTGCTGAAATCCTAAGGAAATAAGAGTAATATTTTGTAATGAATGCAGCAATATTTGTAGCCCTTCTATAAGGGACTAGTAAGGCAAGGCAGTCCCTCTGAACCGTCTTTCCCCTCAGGGTCCTTGGGCAGTGTGCCCAGGCGCTATGGAATCACCCTTCTGTGGGGACTCTTAACAGCACAGCTCCAGATCTACTTTCCTGCTCAGCTGTCAGCCTTCTATCAAAAGATAAAGGTCTTCTGCTGTCTTCTGCCTTAACCTATCTTGCTTGCAGCCTTCATGTGGCTACTTCTTGTCCTAAGGTCCCCTGACGCATGGATTTGCAAAGAAGTAAAGAAAAAGCAAGGAAAAAAACCAAAAAGGCTTGTGTCACTAATACTGGGACTTGGTTTCTACCTTATTATTTCCAAAGAGAAGATGCGAATTAAATTGTTATGACTCATTCACTCCCATCTATTTATTTGTAAAAATCAAAGTGTCTCCAATGTTTATTCATGTCTTAGGTTTAAAAATAATCCACAGCACCTTTCTTCTTTTTCTTTGTCTTTTTACTGCTACGGCCCTTCTGTTGCTCTTCCATTATCCTTTCCTCTGCCATTTGAGAGCCATCGGCACGACTTAATGTTGACATCAGCCATGCATAAAGGAACTCAGAGAGGTACCTTACAGGATAAAAAATGTTAGTTAATAATAGATGTCTATGTGAGATAGCTTTATCAACACATGTATTGGTACTAATAAAGATTATTTTTCATAATGCTACAAAGTCTTTATAAACAATAGATTATCCAATTAGGCAATTGAGAGGTTAGAGCTTATAAGAAATGAGTGTTACAAGTGGTTAACTTCCCCTTTCTTTTATAGCCACCTATGTTGCCATACAATATGGAAAAATTTCTTTCCTACAACATGTATTTTACAACTCACAAGAGTTCTTGATAATGATGCATATATGCAAATCAAATAAATCCCATTATGTTAGTTTTACTATATCACGGCACCTTTCACCTCAACTTACTAATGTAAATCAGCTGCCTCGAAACACAAAGAACTTCAGCATTTTCCCTGTAAACTGTCGTCTTTGTCTACTATGAGTAACAAAATGTACCCCCAATATCTGTATCAAGACCTGTTGGTAAGAGCTGTTATCTATTGAAATGTTGGAGAATACACCAAATAATATTTTCCTCATATTGCTACAGTTGATGCTCAAATTCAGTTTGCACAGCCAAGAGTCTTCTGTTAAAGAATCCCAACAGCCATGATAACAAAACCATGCCGACAATGTGGAAGAGAATTACTTTTATTCCTTCACAGCAGTTACTCCAGGAAATATATACTATCTTTATTACTAATACAAATAACCTAATATTAAGAGCTAATATACAGAACTTAGTTGTTTGTGGTGGGGAATAATAGGTTATTACTATTTTAAAACTACCACCATACTTTGCCAGGCTAAGAAAGATTCAAGATGACTGAATTCATCAGTGTACAATTTTCTTTCTATGATCGCTTTTCCAGGCCAAAAATGCTCTCAAGCATCCTCTGCCTAGGTTTCTTCATCTCATTCTAAGTGAAAGCAAAGAACTATATACTCTGTGTAAGATCGTCTCTTACCAATGTCTTTAAACCTCCTGAAACAAATCTCCTCAGGGCCACAGTTTGCAATAATTATGCTCCCATGATAATCTTAGCCTTGATTTCTTCTCAGAAGAAATCTGAGTTCAAATTTTTAATTTTGTTTCTGGTAAGCACTGAGTTAGCCAAAATGTTCATTTATTTTTTTTTGCCTGTAGCACTTAGATGGCTATAGTAGCACTTAGATGTCTTTAACTTCATTTGAAGCAATTTTATTAGATTGTATTCTGACAGCTGTCATATCAGCATGCATTTCAAAAAACATCGGCGAATTTTGTGTAGCCATTTTAATATTGAAGATGGAAGAAAATATGCAACATTTTTGGCATATAGTACTTTATTATTTCAAGAAAGGTAAACATGCAACTGAAATGCAAGAAAAGATTTGTGCAGTGTATGGAGGTGCTATGACTGATTCAGTGTGTCAAAAGTGGCTTGAGAAGTTTTGTACTGGAGATTTCTCACTGGACGATGCTCCACAGTTGGGTAGACCAGTTGAAGTTGATTGCAATCAATTTGAGACATTAACTGAGAACAGTCAATGTCATACCACATGGATCAGATAGCTGACATACTCAAAATATGAAAATCAATAAAGTTACTGGTGAAAATGAAAAATGTGTCTTTCATTTTATAGTAGAAACCAAATGGACTTTTTGGCCAAGCCAATATATTCAGTGACACTAGTACCTAGCATCACTAAAGTTAGGGCAAAATGTGTGTTAATTTTTCTCCCTATAAAGAGGTAAAAGCTCTTCTAATAGTCCCACAGCTGAAGTTAAAATACATTAAATGAAAAAAGTACCCTGAAGTTATACTCTACTGATGCTCCTTCAGATCTTTTCTATCCCACCCACTACCAATTTTAACTGAAAGTGTTCGCTCACCAATATATGTAGTAGTACTCATGCATGCTGTAGAGTTCCAATTCAAAGCCACTTAAAAGATACTGTATCATAATTCTAAGGTTATGATAAAGGACCCAGGTGCCTAAACAGGCCAAATGTTGCCTTTGGGGTTCCTGTTTCAACAGCATAGTGTGAAGTGCTGCATCAACCTTCTCTGCCTATCAGAATAAAACATAACATTTATATTGTTAGGTAATGAGAGAATTTAAAATAAACAGAGTAATAGCATGAGCAGAAAATATAAATCTTGCCACTAAAAGAACTCATACTTACAAAAGCAGTTTGGTTAAGTGTATACCCTAACTGTCATTTCACAATGGATAACATTTAGCTAAACAGTCCTTAAAACTGAAAACACACCTGATTTATAGGACAAAAATAAAATCAATGGACCTTCAAGTCTTTAGTTATATTATCAATTAATATTGCTGCTGCTCACAAATTTAAGGTTAATTTGCAATACATTTTTATATTAATGTGAACTTACTATACAATTACAGATATACACATATTTTATAATTTATTATGATTATCAAAGAAATAATTTAAGATGTTTCTCAGTTTGGATTACTGTTGTTTCTTTTTTGTAAACTTTTGCTTTGGCACATGAAACTGTTACACTTTAAGTAAAAAGGTAAATCACCATACTGAAAAATTAAGTAGTCAAAATATCATTCCGAAGAATTGTCTTAAAAAATCTGGTCAAGGCATATGAATTGCTTAGTTTTAGAAGGAGGGACACTTGTTGGCGCTTACCTCATCCTGCAAGGTAGCAAATTCCTCAAGAATATGGCCCAGCTTGTCTCTCTGACGAGCCCTATTATGCCCATGGATCTGGATAAGACTGCAGAATGGCTGCAGTACAAATGAAATTCGTTAACCATCAATGTGAAATGTCCAGACACTATGGAAAATAAACATTCAAAGTTTCCAAAATCTGGTTTAAAGAGAAAAAAAATACTGTGTATATAAGAATCATGCCTATGTATATTTTTCACATAAGTATTTCTCTTTAAGGAGCTCAACACCAGAATTTATCCATAGTTAGAAGTGGTTGTTTATGAAACTTGTTTTTCATATGACAAATATATCTTCCTTCAATCTTCAGATATCATCCCACAATCTCAAGAGGACAGTTTCTTTACTGCTTATTTCAAGCCCAAAGTCAATGTTCAAGGCTGACATTTCTGTGCTGTTTTACATATACCAAAATGCCTAGTAATTCTAAGGCATTAGTAATGGCTAATATCTATAGACTCTAAGGTTCTTCTATTCCTGATCTATATAATATTCCCATATAAAATACTGTAACATTTCATTAAACAGACAATAGACATGTACAATAGAAAGCTCTGATTTAAGAAGTGTGAATCAGAGCATTCAAGTATAATACTATTTTTAACATTGTATACTTTTGACAGATATTATCTCATTTGATGGAGGTGATATTAACATCTCACTTTTTAAAGATTGGGAAATTTATAGAAAAGTAAAGTGATCTGCCTGATAATGATACAATGTTAGTTTATAAAAATGAGATCTGGTCATTTACTGATTCTCCTTTGACCATACCATGCTCTCTTCATTGTGTGTGTGGATGTGTTTAGTAACTGAAATGAGGCCCTGAAGAGCTGTCTTCATAGCGCTTATAATTACATAAGAATGACTTACAATAAATTTAATCCACCACAAAGTTTATACTTTTTCCTAATTACTTGAGATTTTAAAAGTTTGTGATCTTGTGTACATGAACAATTTTAATTTTACTGTCATCCTGTTCATTAAGGTAGTACTAGGATATGTGCCTTGGGATGTTACAAATATTCCTTGTTTATAAGGTCGAGACATTTTTGTGTGCATTTATAAAAAAGAAGAGAACTGATGCTTTCACCGATGGGAGTCATAATAGAACCCACTTCTGTGGTTCCTGAGGGTTGGACTAAGAGGACACCAGAAGAAGCCTGCGTGCTTGACAGCCTGCCAGAAAGATACCTGATTATGAAACTGCCAAGTCAAGCATAAGATACTTTTTATTTATTCAGTGAAAATGAACAAGAAATATGAGAGGGGAAAAAACAGCACAAACGAATACTACTGAAGGAATTATTCCCTACGATTTTTGAAGTACCCATCACAACAACCCAAACTGTAGTTCTTACCCGAACACAGTGAGTAACAAAGGAGTCAATACAGTCCTTAGCCTGGTGATTATTATAAAGGCAGCACCTGAAATAATAACATTCATGTCATTAAAATCAAACTATTTGACCTACAAAAAGAAGCAGAGATTTCTGTAGGTGTTACCAACAAACAAGGACGGTGGAAAAAGAAAAAGGAACCTAATACTTTACCAGGCTGAAGGCTGGTGGCTCTAGGTTAAGAAATATCTCACCATTACTGTCTTGTTGTTGTTTTTTTAAGATTTTATTTATTTATCTTTAGAGAGGGAGGGAAGGAGAGAGAAGGAGAGAAATATCAATGTATAGTTGCCTATAGTGAGTCCCCTGCTGGGAACTGGCCTGCAACCCAGGCATGTGCCCTGACTGGGAATTGAACCGCGATATTCTGGTTTCCAGGCCTGCGCTCAATCCACTGAGCTACACCAGCCAGGGCAGAAATATTTTACCATTACTGTGTTGTTCACACAATAAATGTGCATTATTTCCAAATTCTTTAGTTTTATATTTGGACAATTAAGAGTTAAATTGAATAAGATCAAATTAACAAGAAGGAAAATTCCAAACCTCCACTTTTTCCTGAATCTACTCCAATGTCATTAATTTTCCTATAATGGATACCCTTAGTTATTACAAAGGACTATATAGAATCATAATTTCTCCAGGATGTATCCACATTTCTAATCACCAGTCAAAATCATCCACCATGTATACACCTCTCTGGCACCTCATCTTCTATCCTCACAAAGTGGTTTTCCCGTGGCATTCCTTAGTTAAGAGGACTACTTCCTGACTAATGCTTTCCTGAGCAGTCTAGAAGGATTTGCTACTTTCCTGGCTCTAGAGGAACTAGAGGTGCTGAGTGACTGGAAGACAGCCTTTTTCTGTCCCTGAGGTGGGAGGTCAGTAGCCTTTGCACCTAAGGAGATGGCAAGAAGCAAAGACATTCTTCTGAGGCACTGAGAAGAGCTGACAACCTGCTACGCCTAAAAGTTTGCCACAACTGAGCAATCTGACCATAGCCTCAAAGATAAATAGCCGTGATCGTGCAACAGAAAATGGAGGTGCACACAGGAGCCCGGAAAAGAAAAGGCAGAACACCTGGAACAGACCGTGGCAAAACCGAACTGCTGGAAGGTCCATTACATCTTTTACTGCACAGTAAGAAACTTACTGAAGTAGACTAAAATAAAGCACTTAAAAAAAGGACTTTCTGAATCTGAAAGCTAAGATTTTCAAACCTAAATATTCAGTAGATGAGAGATGCTCACTAGTAAGTAGTCTTGAAGATCAAGGGGAAGAACTCAAACCGCAGCAAATACAAGAAAGAGGTAAGTGTCCTGAGGAACATGGTGATTCGGAGAATAGAGTATATGAGGAGTTCTAAGTGAGAGACAGAGAAAACAGATGAAGGTGAAGCAATAATTAAATAATCATATAGGAAAAATGACTTGACTGAAAGACCTGGGGCTTTAATAACTCAGTTCCAGATGGGAATAACTAAAAATCACACACGAACATTCTGTTAAAACTCTTGAATTCCCAAAACTCCTAAAATGAAGAGAAACTCTATAATCCTCCAGAAGAAAGTGTCAAATCACTACGAAGGAAAAAATAGCAGCAGCAGATTCCTTACATGTAACACTGTAATCTTAAAAACAGCGGAAGGCCATCCATCCACAAGCTACTTGCTACGCAGTGAATGTTGCTATGTGCAATTGATTCTTGGTGTTCCTGACAGTCCTGCTCTGCAGCGTTGCCCTGGACACTAGATTAGACAGCGCTGAAGTGTCGCTGCGAGGGTAAAGTACAGGGTTCTGTTTCTGCCAGCCTCTGCTCACATTTTTACACGACGAACCAATACGTAACAGTCTTGTTCCATGTATATTTGTTTCCAGACACCACAAATAATATACACTGTGGATACATTAGCATCGGACTCATGCCTGAGCAATGCTTACGTAACACATCTTCTCTCTGTAAAGCACAGGACAGCCTTCTTGTGCTAAGGCACACTGGACAGCACCTCACTACCGTTACAAGCCATTTTAAACTATGAAATCAAGGAAAAGCACAAAAACAGGCCTCCAACAGAGTTATTTATAGTATAAGGGCTGAAACAAGAAGGCAATGAGAAGACTGCCGTGCTCAACCTCAGTGTTAGGCAACTTGCTTATGTCTGTGAAGATGACAAGAGCAGAGTGAATATTGATCCGAGGGTTACAAATACGTTTTAGTGTGCAGGCAGATTTACAAACACGGAATCCACAACTAACAAGATAGACTATAGTTTACTGGGTAGCAAAAGGAACAATGTGTAATCTAACTGCTGCAGGAGGATTGCTGAACAGAACATGGGAGATGTGCCCCGGCTGGGTGGCTTGTTTGGAGCGTTGTCCCGCTCACCATAAGCCTGCGGTTGGGTCTCCAGTCGGAGCGTGTGTGGGAGGCAACCAATCAATGTCCCTGTCTCTGTCTAAAAATTCATGAACATGTCCTTGACTGAGAATTTTTTAAAAGTTGAATTTCTATCTTCATAACATTTACTGGAAAATAGAAGAATTAAAAATTTAAAGGTAGAGAATAAAGCCATAAAAATCTCTGGAAGAAAAGTTTAGTAGATTTAAGATTGAACAGTACAACCTATGGTCTGGGGAGAATTATTTGCTTCAAATAAGAAAGCTGTAAAGTTACACAGAAAAAAAAGCAAAAACTATCATATAGAAAAATTTTGATGTGGAAAAACAAAGATAAGCAATTCATTAAAAAATTCTAAATGTCCAATAAATAATTAGTGACTAAAGTAACAACAAGATACCACTTCTTACCCAACACATTAGAAAAAATAAAAAAGAAAAGATAACACCTACTACTGGTTAGGATGCAGGAAAAAGTACAACCTCATATACCGATCGTTAGGAGAAATATGAATTATTACGATCTTTTAGAATGATGCAATGTGGCAGTATTTATCACAACAGCCAAGTTCACAAAACAGCCCGTTTGTGGTTCCTATTTACAGCAAGTCACGTACACGTGTATCTTGACACAGAAAGACGTATATGCAGTGACAGTCACCAAAACATAGTTATCACAGAGGTAAGATTTCAGGTGATTTTTACTTTCACATATTCTCCTGCATTTAAAAAGTTTCCCAATGTAACCATGTATTATTTATATTGTTATCTCCCCAAGGCTACAGTTTCACTTTTTGCAGTTTTCGTTACCCATGGTGGTCCTAAAGTATTTAATGGCAAATTCCAGAAATAAAGAATTGGTAAGTTTATATGAATACAGGGTTTGTTTCAAAATATCTTACTGTACTGTGTTCGTCTTTTTACTTTGTGTTACTTGGACACAAACATGGTGACACCTCAAGGTCTGAGACGTGAGAGGGCGACCAGGTGACTAACGGGCGGGCAGCGGGCAGCACGCACGCACTGGTGAAGGGATGGTGCGCGGCCCGGGCTGGGCAGAGCCGGGCAGCCCAAGATTCCATCCTGCTACTTACAATGGTGCGCTACTTAAAATTTATGCATTACTTATTCCTGGAATTTTTCAATAAATATACTCAGACAGCAGTTGGCCTTGGGAATTGAAACCACAAAAAGTGAAGCCACAGATAGGGAGGGACTACTGTATTTCACCTAATAATGACCCCAAAGTGCAAGAGAAGCGATGCTGATGAAGGAAAGTAGCATTTGCCACCCTGAAATATGCCTCTTTGAGATGGTGACCTTAACCTGATTATTTTTAAGAAACAAGACTCAGGAAGAACCTTTGATTTCCTTCCCCAACTGTTTAAAAGGTTTAGATATAGAGCCTGCTCCAGAAAGTTTTCTGTCATCAAGGAAAACTATAGTCCAGTATGAACAAGGTGTAGTAGTAAGGGAGGAACCTATCACGGACTGTTTGACCAATGTCCTCTCAGTGTCCCACTGTTAAACAAGGCTCAGCAAAACATCTATCAAACACCTGCTTTTCCATCCCCATGTGAAATATCCTTCCTCACCTGTGAAGCCCCAAACCATGACCTCCCTTTCTCCTCGCTCAAGATGGCACACACAGCCTCAACTCCCTGATTTCTCCTAAAGCTCCATATTCTCATGGAACCCCTATACAGTTGTATGTAATTAAACGTGTTTTTTCCCCTGTTAATCTGTCTTATGTCATTTTAATTACTCCACCAGGAAGAACTAAGCAGGGAAAAGGAAAACTTTCTCCTCCCCCACACTGGCGATTTGGATATGCCAAAGAGAAGCTGTAAAGTGCTTTCTTTATGTGAAAAGATGTGTGTACTTTATAAAACAGTATATATAGGATTTGGTACTGTCTGAGGTTTCAGGAAACCATTTGGGATTCTGGAATGTATCCCCCATGGATAAGGCGGGGGACTACTAAAATCAGCTTTTTTTTAAAGCAATAGTTACACCCTCTTTCCTTTCCATTCCTTATTGAATAAGCTGTCACGTGCTACTAAGTTTACTACCAAAATTATTCCCATTAATTGAACTGCTGAAATCCGTCCTCTCCTTTACATTCCCAGGGTTTAATTCGTCCTCCTCTGTTACCTGTATTACCAAATCAGCCCCGCCAAACACACTGCCTCCGTTATCACTGCTGGTTTGCTTCCTACTAAAAAATATATGCTCTACCATGCCAATTTCTTTCTGAAAACTTGAAGCAGTTCTTGAATTAACCATAAAATAATGAAAGAAACGAGTGCTGAGTCATGGGCGATGGGGGAAGGAAGGCTGACACTTTTCAACAGAATGATCAGGGAGCCCTCACTGAGGTGACACTGGACTCGGGGACGGTGAGGGAGCCGGCCTGGGGAATTCCTGAGGAAAACATCCTCCACGCCCATTCCTGTGTAAAGGCCATGAGCGAGAGTGTGTACGTTCCAGGAACAAGGGAGTCAGTGTGGCTGAAGCAAAGGAAGTGAGGGGAGAGCAGTAAGAGATGCAGTCAGACAGGCGTCAGGACAGGGATGTAGATCAGAGCATCTGGGGCTTTGAAGGCTCAAAGAGAAAGACTTCGGCTTTTACTGAGATTGTAACGGTGAATGTTAACCAACACTGAGGACACTTGGGAATTTACTTCCTCCCAGTTGAAGGGCAGTTGTTAATTGAGAGGTGTCTGGGTAAATTCTCAGGTTCCCTTGCCCCTGACTAACAACTCTTGAGGTGTCACCCTCTGTCTCCAGAGCTCCTGGCAAGAATGAACAAGGGTTACTCTCCACAGAGCACACCTTTGTGTGGTGGCTTTCTTCTTTCTCATGTCCCACCTGCCCACAACTCTACTGTTTTTTCCTGGGAACAATTTATCATAATATCTACATGAACCTTTGTCACAGGGTCAGCTTCTGGGGAAACCCAACCTAAGAAAGCTACTAAGGAGTTCTATGTGGGATGTGGCATGATTTATTCAACAGATTGAATGCCGAACCACCAACTGTTCTCATAAAACCTCATACACCCCATCTTCACACATGCTGGTTCCTTTGTTAAGAAGTAAAGGCTCCTTTTGTCCATCCACCATGGAAAGCTCTACTTATTTTCCAAAATGCCAACTCAAACTATGATTCTTTCTGCCTGAAATACTTTCCAGCCTCTCATGGCAGCAAGTTTTCCAGGTAGAAATCAGAACATAATTTAAGAATCTATTACCTGCATTTTCTATTTCTTCTGGACTCAGCTCATTGAGAAGAGACCTTATTTTATTGTTTTAATAACACGGTGCTCTGCACACAGTAGGAGTCAATACAATTTACTGAATTTCTTGTAACTGCTTGGAAGTTTTTCTACTCATATTAGACCTAAGGTCAACCTCACAAAAAACCTCAATTTAAATCTAAACAATATGTGGCATAAGTCAATTATGTGATTGAATTTGTTGTTTTTATATGGAGACTTTATTTCAACAGTTTTTTAAATTTCTTGGCTAAAAAGGAGAAGGACAGAGAATTTGGGCTTTTAAGGAACACACGTTACAAAACATCTTCTGATACTTACTTTGGGGAAAGCACCGGAGGACTGACAAAAGACCGAAGTGCATCTTTCACCATGTCTTGCATGAGATGAGTTCCAAAGACCTTTTTGTTATCAACCAGGAAAGTGGTCTTAAAAACAAATGGTACGTATTAGTGATGCCATCACAAACTTGACGTACTGCACATATAGTTGCCATTACTGTGACATCAGAATACTTCTTGGCTACAAATACCACAGATGCCCTGACCAGTGTACCTCAGCTGGTTGGGTGTTGTCCCACAAAGCAAAACGTTGCCGGTTCAATTCCCAGTCAGAGCACTTGCCTGGGTTGTGGGTTTGGTCTCAGGTCAGAGACCACAGGAGAGACAACAGATCCATGTCTCTCTCTCACACTGATGTTTCTCTCCCTCTCTACCTCCCTCCCTTCCCCTCTCTCTAAAAACAAAATATTTTTAAGAAACCTCACAGAATACAAAAGAAATTAAAATATAAAGAGTTGGTGGAAGATTTTTATGAATCACTGCCTCCATAACAGGTATTATGTACTAATCCCTATTTAAGGTGATGCAAGAGAATTAAGTACGTGCAGAAAAAAAATCTTCCAAGAGTAGTAATTGTGAACTTGTCAAAAATAAACTGACTAGTCTAAATATGTCAAACGAGCTAATTACATAAGGCTTCAGAAATTATGAAACAGTAAATGGCTATAAATATTTAGCTACTTGTCAGTAATCTTTTACACCACTAAGGAATGCATGAGAGGCAACCAAACATTTGATGTTTCTCTCCCCCTTCTCCCTCCCTTCCCCTTCTCTAAACATAAATAAAATCTTTCTTAACACATGTGGGTTATTTCCAGTTTTTGGTGATCATGAACCAAAGAGCTATAAATATTTCCATACAGTTTTCCAGAACATCAGATTCTACTTCTCTTGTAAAGAAGTAAAAGTGGGATTTGTACATTTCACTTTATAAGAATCTGCCAAGTTGTTTTCCAAAATGTGTGTAGCACTTCACGTTCCCATCAGTATTGTGTCCTTACGAGCACTTGACATTTTCTTTTCTTTTAAAAGATATGAATAGTGGCATTTCATTATGGTTTTAATTTGCACTTCTGTAATACTAACGATGTTGAGTTTTTTCCATGTCAAAGTGTTCAAATTTTTGCTCCTTTAAAAACTGGATTGTCTGTTTATTATAGTTTTAGTTATTTTTATGTTCTAGATTGAAGTCCTTTGTCAGACATGATTTGCAAATATTTTCTCCCACTCTTCATTTTCTTAAATGTCTTCCACAGAATCAAAGTTTTACATTGATCAATTTAAAGATTATGCTTTTCACGTCACACCTGAGAATTCTCTGCCTTTTCCAATGTTACAAAGGTTTTCTCCTATCCTTTCTTCTAAAGTTTTAGTTTCACATTTTACATTTAAGTTTATGATGTACTCTGAGTCATTGTCCCACCCATATGCCTATCCAATTGTTCTTGCACCACATATTAAAAAGACTACCATTTCTCTATGGACTTACCTTGGTAATTGGTCAAAAACTGACCATATTAATTATGTTACATTTTCATTTCATTCTATTTTAAGACTTCCTCTTTGTTCTGTAGGTTATTTAGACATGCATTAATTTCTAAATATTTGGAGAATTTTCCAGATCTTTTATGGATTCTTCATTTAATTCAAAATAATCAGAGAACATACTTTTTATCATTCAGCTGTTTTAATATTAAGGTTTACTTTATGGCCCAGAATGTGATCTTGATGAATGTCTAACAATTTAAGTCAGTGCTTGTAATTAAAAAATGTAACATTAACTGTGGAATAGGCTTCAGAAAGAAGCATCTACCTTTTGTTCCATCAATGAAACAACGTCAACAGACACATAATTTGATGTTTAAAGAAGTTTTTTCAATAGCCCTGGTTGGTGTAGCTCAGTGGATTGAGTGCAGGCCTGCAAACCGAACAATCGCAGTTTGATTCCCAGTCAGGGCACATGCCTGGGTTGCAGGCCAGTTCCCAGCAGGGGACGCATGAGAGGCAACCATACACTGATATTTCTCTCCCTCTCTCCTTCCCTTCCCCACTAAAGATAAATAAATTTTTAAAAATCTTAAAAAAAAAAGAAGTTTCTTTAATACTAAGGGACACTTACTTGTAATAGAGATCTTGACAGAACACAAGGTGATTGTTCACTAAACTCACAGAAAAAATCCTAAGAGATAAACAGAGAAAAAGTAATGTTAATAACAGATTAAATAAAAGCAGAAAACATTTGCATATGGAGTGTATTTTACTGGAAATAATACACTCTTAAAGTTAGAATATGACCAACAGTTAAAGATCACCTCTACAGGAACTGTCTACATTGTATCAGAGACCTTGGATAATTTTAGAGCCTCATTTTTTTAAACAAACTGACCAACAGTAGTCTTTTGTGGACACTCACATTAAATTTGTATACCATGCAAATAACTGTCAACAATATTGTAATAACTAGTTTTACGGTTTACTTTCTACTCCACCTAAATGAATACCAAGTAATAACGAGGCCAACTGGATCCATATTACTGACTGACTTCCTGACTTTAGGGAAAGACCAAAAGATATGCTCAGAAAGCTATACATGGGATTATACAGATAGAGAAAAAGAACATAAGAGAACACACTGAAATGTTAACATCTGTAGGTTGTAGGATAGTAGTTATTTATCATCTTAATATCTTTCTGCATTTTGGTGGGTCAAAGTAACATATTTTTAAGGCTGGAAAGAGGTAGCCTACTGGCTATCTCTAGATGGTAATATCCAGAGATAACCAGTGTTATGCACTTCATCATGTAGAGGGAACAACAGTCAAATGAGTATCTACACATAGTAATGCAAAATAAATTAGTGTATTTATATCTAAGTATTAATAAGGAAAATGACGATTTCCCTTTATCAACATTAAGTATTATACTTTTCAATCTAGTTGTTATAAATTACATTTCTTTAATAATCAGTAAGGTTAAGCACTGTTAATGTTTACTTCTTTTTAGAAGTGTGTGCTTATGTCCTTTCCCAGTTTTTCATTTGGATGCTTATCTTTATTTTACTAATATGTCAGCTTTCTTTATAATCTGGCATTAAAATGCCCTGGCTGGTGTGGCTCTGTGGACTAAGTTGCCAGCATGTGAACCAAAGGGTTGGTTTGATTCCCAGTTGGAAAACATGTCTGGGTTGGGGCCAGATCCCCAATAGGGGGCGCTTGAGATGCAAACACACACTGATTTTTCCCTTTCTTTCTCTCTCCCTTCTCCTCTCTAAAAATAAATAAATAGCCCCACCTGGTGTAGCTCAGTGGATTGAGCATAGACCTTTGAACCAAACAACTGAGGTTCGATTCCCAGTGAGGGCACATGCCTGGGTTGCAGGTCAGTTCCCAGCAGGGGATGCACGAGAAGCAACCATACACTGATATTTTTCTCCCTCTCTCCTTCCCTTCCCCTCTAAAGATAAATAAATAAAATCTAAAATAAATAAATAAATAAATAAATAAATAAATAAATAAATAAATAAAATTCAAGAAATAATAAATAAAATCTTAACAAACAAATAACATTTTTTTTATCCTAATAACAGGTTTCTTATGCAGATAAACCAGACCATTTGGTCCCTAACCCTCCCTGACTTTTTATTTTTCCCTCTACTCCTGGCCCCTTGTCCCCCTGGAGCCCCAATACCACTGCCCATCCCAATACCACTGCCCATTCCTCTGTCCCGTGTCTTCCAGGGATCCAGACTCTTCTCCTACTAGGCTCTTTTCAGGTCCAGGGCCAGCAGTCCAGGCCAGGCTCCCCCAGCTCCCCTCTATGGTATGTTATATGCACTCATCCCTCTGACAAGGTAATCCATAATCTTCTGCCAGAATAAAAATTCCAACTGTGTACGATAGTTTCTTATGCCAATTCACATTGATCTCTCCCTTTCTAAAGCCCTATAATTACTCTGGTGAACACAAATAGATACCCATGTAATAATTAAGGATCAGAAAAGTAGATGCAGCAGAAGAATAAGAAAATCTCTATTATCCAGATGTGTCACTAACCTACCTCATTTAGTTACAATCCCTCTAAACCTATGTTTAGTTTTATAACAATCTGCAAAATGAATTGGCTTACGTCTGTGATATTTTCTATCTCTAAAATTCTATGATTGTTAAGGACAAAGTACTAAAAAGAAAACAAACACAAAAGGAAGTAATAAAGGCATAATCAGTGGAAGTTTCACTAAGGAGTGAAGACTTAAGCTGGGTGTAGTGACAAAGAAATAGTGGAAGAGAAAATAAAATTGTAAGATAGAACACAAACAAAAGCACAAATCTTTATTAACCATCAGCTACATCCCACAGGCAGCTGCTCAATTCTAGGACTATAAACCAGTTAATCTGTCCTCTCAAAGAACACAGGTTCAGAAGAAACCTGGAACCAACAAGAAAGACTCCACAGAGGAAATGACAGAGGGCTAGGAATTATGCACTTTAGCATGTAGAGGGAACAAGAGTCAAAAGCATATCTACACATAGTAATGCAAAATAAATTAATATACTTATATCTACATATCAAAAGTATTATTTTGCATATTTTCGACCTTCCTACGAACCTTATGTCACTATTACCTTACCAATTAATAAAACTCCACCCCTGAATGTTTTAATATTCCCAAAATTAAACTATATTTTTCCCCTATTTAAATCCATAAAAAGATTAATTCAAAAAATGCCAACTTAAAAATGTACATACTCTTTTATTCAGAAACCTCACTGTGTAGTAATTTATGTTAAGGGGCAAGAAAGCACCTGACATAAAGATTTACCCATAAAGATATTCGCCATAGTATTGTTTATAGTATTAAAATACTGCAAGAGATTTAAATGCAATTCAGTATGAATACAATTCAGTATGAATTGCACTTAAATGAATTTTTTCATGTAAGCATGAAAAAAATGCTTACGGTGGAATCCCATGTAGCCATTAAAATAATATAGAAATATATGTATTTGTTGAAATGAAAAGGTAAGTCATAATATAGAGATTAGTAATTAAAGAAAAAGTTAACAAACACCACGATCCAATTTTGTATGAAACGATACACACGCACTATGTGTATGCATGCACACACATATTTATATAAAAGATTTTGAAGACAGAATCCAGGGTTTAAACTCCCATTTGTAAAGTGTGGATGAATTATGTAGCCTCGAGACTTTAGTTTCTTAATCTCTAAAACCAATAGTTATATTAAGAATAGAGATTTGTACTTACCAGGATACAGTGTAAATTTGTTAAGTTTACCACCTCACAAACAGTTTTTATTCTATCTATTAATCTTGCAAAATAGTTGACCATTTCTTCTCTTTTAATTATCTTTGCATATCGAGGAAAAGTGGGTGGAAGTAGCCTCTGGTTAACAAGGGGCTCAAAACCCATCATAATTGGATGATCTAAAAAGAAATAAGATTTTCAATGTTTCTTGAAATTTTAAACCTCAAGCACTACTAAATGTGAAAAAGGCCAGTTTCAAAAACATCTCCAAATGAATTCTAATCATAAAATTCTCTAGATTTTATAATTTACAACGACTGTATCTATACACACATATTTAAAAATAGATAAGCATACTGAAAAGCTACGGTTGTACTTGCTGTCTACATGGTGGTGGTAGTTCTGACAGGGAGGGCCTTCTACCTCCAAGCCAAGATGGGATAAAACAGGGTTAATATATTCCCTCATAACAACTATCTTTTCTGACCACAATGGCATGAAATTAGGAAGCAACAAGAGGCAAATAGAAAATCCACAAATGTGTGAAAACTAAACAACACAGTTCTAAACAACCAATTGGTCAAAGGAGAAATCAAAGACTATCTCAAACCAAATGAAAATGGAAAAAACATACCAAAACCTATGAGCTTCAAAAGCAGTTGTGACAGGGAAGTTCATAGCAATAAATGTACGTATTTAAAAAAATAGAAACATTTCAAATAAACAACTTTATACCTCAAGGAACTAGAAAACAAATTAAGCCCAAAGTTAGCAGAAGGAAGGGAATAATAATGATCAGAGTGAAAATAAATGACATAGAAACCAGAAAAACAACAAATGATCAGTAAGAAACTAAGAGCTGGTTTACCAAAAATAGACGGTTGACCAACCTTTAGTTATTCCTGTATGTCTACTGGTTGGAGAATTTACTTTATATTTAAAGTAATTATTGATAGATATGGAATTATCAATCTCATTTTGCAGACTGTTTTCTGGTGGTTTTGTAATTTTTGTAATTCCTTTGTTCCCTTTTTTCTCTTGCTCTTTTCCTTTGTTATTTGGTAATTTTCTGTAGTGCTATTCCTTTGATTACTTTCTCTATCTCTTTTTTTTTTATATTTATAGGCTTTTGCTTTGTGGTTACCATGAGGCTTGCATAAAATACATTTGTATTCAATAATAGTCTATTTTAAGCAGATAACCTCGAACACAGAAAAATGCTCAGCCCATATTTTATACTTTTGATGTCACCATTTTCATCGTTTTACACTGTGTATCATTAACAAATTATTGCAGTTATAGTTATTTTAAATACTTTTGTTTAACCTTCATGTAAGTGCTCTACCCACTACCATTAACGACATTAGAGTATTCTGAATTAAACCAGTTAGCCCTTGGTAGCCACAGGTTTTGCATCCATGGATTCAACCAGAGATCAATCCACAACTGGAAACCTGTGGATACAGAAGGCCGACTGGATGCGTTGTTCTGAGCTACCTCATATAAGGGACTTGCACATCTATGGAGGATCCTAGAACCAATCTGTTGCTGATACAGAAGGATCACTGTATTTATTTATGTTTAACAGTTTTATACCTTCCTATGTTTTCAGACCAGCCCAAGCTGCTAGTTGCCTTTAAACTTCTGTGATTGTCCTCACCTCCTCCTCTGTTCTTAGTAGTAGCTGAGGGTGTGTCAAGACCCACCAGTGTCCCAAAGCCAGCATCTACGTGCAGGCCAATTAAAAGCTAAACCCTCTTGTAGCAGCTGGGGAGGTATGTAGTTAAGCCCCCTCCAGGCAGAAACTAGGAGATGGGCATTTTATCTAATCCCTCTGTGCTAGGTCTGGATGTATAACCATGGGGGGAAGGGTGCTCCCACACCTGATAACAACTGTTTCTTTGTTTTATAGTCTGGTGGGACTCCTGAATCCAAGCCCTGTTGGTCAGTCAGTAGAGCCAGGTGATCTGGGGGCTCATTCCTTGGACAGCTGCAAAAGCTTGAGCACCAGTTGTGTGTGTACAAGCTCCTTCCTGGGAGATACTGGTAACTGGGTTTTATTATTGCAACAAGTTGGAGAGAGGAAGTGGGAAAGGTGCCTGCTGGTTTTCCCAGCCTCAGGAAGATCACATCCAGTCTTCATTCAGATGCCTGCTAAACTAGAAGCTCAACACTCAGGCAGCAGCTTTTATGGAATGCAGACAAACCTATTTCAGGGAAAGACTGGGAGATGAGTAATGTTGACTGCTCCCTCTGCACTGATCCCTGCAGGGACAGCCACGGGAAGTGACCATGAGATAAGCCAGGCAGTGAAAAGACAAATACTGTATGATCTTACCTATTCGAAGAACCTAATGAACAAAACAAACAAATGAACAAAATAGAACCAGAGGCATGGAAACAAGGAACAGACTGACAGCGACAAGAGGGGAGGAGGGGAAGGGTGGAAAAAAGGGGAAGGGACTAGTCAAGGACCCATGGACATGGACAGCAGGGTGGGAATGGACTGTGGGAGTGGGGGTGGAGGTGGGTGGGGGTACGTGCCGATGAGGACAAAGGGGGAAAAATAGGGACAACCATAATAGAACAATATAATATTAAAAATAAAAGAACTGCTTCTTTGTTCACTATAATCTTCTGGGACTCATGATAGAAGCCCCCTGGCTAGGGGATCCAAGTTCCTCCATCCCTCAGCCAGTAGCAGTAAAAGTTGGGGTGCAGTCAACTTGGGAGTGGGCTGGAGGGAGAAGGCAAGCAAGGTATCCTTGGGCTTCCCTGGTCTCTGGGAAGGACCACAGCTGGCCACTAGCTAGTGCCTGCTAAGTGAGAAACTGCCTTAGGCAGCACCTTTTAAAGCATACAGATAAACCTCTTTCATAGTCAGCTTGACAGAAGGGTAATTTTGTCTGCTCTCTCCCTACTGACCCCTAAAGGGACAGTCAAGGCAAGTGCTCACGAGCCCATTAAGAACTGCTTGCTTCTTTGCTGTAGTCTTGTGGGTCGCACGGACACAAACCCTGCTGACGGTCAGAGCTAGGTGTTCTGAGGGCCTGTCTCTCCAGGAGTCTTAAAAGTTGGGATGCTAGAGGTGGAATCCAAACAGTTCACTCCTCAGGTAGAAGCTAGAAGTCGGGGGTACTCTCCTGACTGTACGGCCCTATGTTGGGGGTTATGGCAGAGTAGGTCTCAGCTTTTCCTGCCCATTTAGGTGTGGGTATTTTCTCCTAATGCATAGGAGCTGATCAGCTAGTTTCTGGATGTCTTTCAGAAGGAATTGCTTTGTATGTAGCTGTGCATTCACTGTGTTCATGGGAAAAAGGGAGCTCAGGAGTCTCCTGTGTCACCATCTTGGTCAAGACCAATGCCCAGATACTTTCAGTGGACAATAGTCTTTGGGAAGCAAGATATGGATGATAGGTCCTTTGGATAACAGAGCTAGAAAATATACATATGTATACAAACATACAAACTGGGTGTTTTTTAAAATTTTAACATTTATTTATTTATTTATTTATTTATTTATTATTTATTTATTCCCAGAAAGAAGGGGAGGGAGGGAGAAAGAGAGGGAAAGAAACACCAATGTGTTGGCCATCTCCCATGCATCCCCCAGTGGGGACCCAGCCCACAACCCAGGCACGCTCCCTGACTGAGAATCGAACCGGCAACCTCTTGGTGTGGAGGCCCGAGCTCAATCCACTGAGCCACACCAGCGAGGGCACAAATTGGGTGTTTTAAAACAACAGACACTTATTCTCTCACAGCTCTAAGGCCAGAAATTTAAGATCAGTTTCACTGGACGGAAATCAAGGCATTGACAGGGCAGCACTCTGTCCAAAGACTCTCTAACAGGAAAACTTATTCCTTGTCCCTTCCAGCTTTTCGTGGCTGCTGGAATTCCCTGGCCTCTAGCTGCCTCACACAAATCTATACTTGTCTTCCCATCACTGTCTCTTCTGTGTGTCTAATCTTTCTCTGCCTCTTTTAAGAAAGACATTTAGGGCCCAACTAGATAATCCAAGATTATCTCATCTAAAGATCCTTACTTAATTGCATTTGCAAGGACTTTTCCAAATAAAATAACACAGGTTTCAAGATGACCATAAGTGTGAGGGTTAGTTTCTGGATTCTAACTCTACTCTACAGATTTATGCCTATTGTTATACAAGCCCCACACTGTCTTAATTACTGTAGCTTTGCAGTCAGTTTTGAAATCAGAAAGAATGACTCCTTCAACTTTGTTCTTTGCTCCACTGATTTATATGTTTCCATTACTGTTGTTAAGAAGTCTAATGACATTCTGTCTTGATCTGTATCTGTAACTTAATTTTGTCTCTTTCAAATTTCTTAGGACCCTGAGTTTTAACCCATCAATCTGAAGTTTCATGATGATATGCTTTGAAAGAAGTCTATTTTCATTCTGTTGTGCCAGGTAGCTCTTTATTGGTTCCTTCAATCTAAGTATTTGTATCAGTCAAATCCATAAAATTTTCACGAATGATTTTTGGGTGTTTTTTTTTTTTTTGCTTCTACTTTCTGATCTCTTATTTCTGGAACAACCTTTATTAGTTTACACTTCTTTTATCTTATTTTTATCCTTAGTGGATATTAGACCTTCTGGAACTGATCCTATATTTTTTCATTCTCCTTATTTTCAATCTTTACATTTTTTATTCTACTTTCTGTAAGATTTCCCTCACTTTGCATTTTCTTTCCCTTTTTATCATTTGTTTACATTTGAATCTTAAAGACCATGTTCTTTTTTTCCTTTTTAATCATCACCCAAGGATATATTCACTGACTCTAGAGGGAGGAAAGTGGGAGAGAGAGAGATACATCAACGAGAGAAACAAACATCAGCCGGCTGCCTCCTGTACACACCCAAACAGGGGATCAAACCTGCACACCTTTTGGTATAAGGGCAACACTTCAACCAACTCAGGCCAGAGCTTTTATTCCTTTTCTAAAAAGAAATATCCTATATGTACCATATTTTACACATGAACTGATTTTTCTCACTTTTTAAAGGCTTGTGATCCACTTGCCTGTTTTGTTTCTATTTTCAGTCTTGAGATTTCCCACCTTGACTACATTTGTCACTGAAGGATAAAATAAAATTCATCAAGAGCTCTGTGAATACAAGTTAGGCTTTTCCACCAAGCCATTTTATAAGTATAAATTTTGCTATGTTTTTGCCCACCTCTGGGTGTCAGATTTCTCTAAAAAGACTCTTTCAAACTCTTAAGTGGAGTACAACAACTAGGCTGTACTGTTTTGGAAACTAAGGGGAAAAAATGGCTAAAGTTTGGAGGGAAAGAGAAAGTAAGTTGGTCACAATAGTAAATATTTAATTTTTCACTTAACTCTTCCATAATGGGTACTATTCAACAGTGCCTGGTGTCCCCTCATCCAGAATCTCTGTTACCCTACATGAACGCTCAGTGATTTCAAGCTTTATAGAGCCATTTGTTACCAGTTGGAGTTACAGTAATGTTAAGATGGCAAATGAGTAAGCTGAGATGAATACTAACCTACGGTATTATTTTATCATCATTCTTTTTAAAATAGACATCGGGAAGGCATTCAGTTTTTTTTTTAATATAGAACTGTTTAGCTTTATGCTTAAGGGATAATTACAATGTTAAATTAAGACAGCTAAAGGTTTAAACAGAAAACTAAGCAGAGTGAGTACTCCCTAAATTTACTACTTCACTTGCTTAGTCATTGAGACAACTTTAAACAAATCATCTTCCTGAAGCTTACTTGTGAGCACACTATAAATCCAAACAGTGGAAAATATACACACAGGCAATATTTTTCTTTTTTCTTTTTAAAGCTCTGACTAGTCTGAAATACAGGGAAGCCCCAAACCACCTGGACAACTAATGATCCTGTGGCGATGATTATCCTCACAGTTACAGTTTTCACCAAAAGTATTCTTGCACTAGTTATTCAAAGTACTGAAGAGCTCTAGATATGTTAATACTTCTCTGTAAATAAGTACTAGACAGCTTGCTATGCATAACAGCCTTTTTAAAATGTACCATGTTTACAGAATGCCACCTATATTCCCCTCCTGGATAAAATGAAAAAAATGATCATGAATTAATATATTCATTATAATTATTAGATAAATAAAGATTATGATAATACAGATTTTCTAAACCAAATTACCTTTGCATTGCCCCACTACCTAACATCTGAGTAAGAAAAAAAGTTTGCAGGAAGGGGAGCACCCAACTACTGTCCTTCAAGTGTGAGGAGCACAAAAGGAAAGCAGTGTAAATTAGGAAAAACTGGCCTTCCCAGTCACAACGCCAACACTGGGGAAAAAAGTTTAAAGAATGTAAATTTCATCTTATTTTAATAAATTTAAATTAGTCTTCTTTTATTGATTCTAGAGACAGGGGAATGGAAGGAGAGAAACACCAATGTGAGAAAGAAACATTAATTGGTTGCCTCTTGCACATGCCCCAACTGAGGACAGAACAAACCTGCAACCTGAGCATGTGCCTTGTTGGGGGATTGAATCAGTGACCTTTCAGTTTGCAGGACAACACCCAACCAATTGAACCATACTAGCCAGGGCTCATTTTCAATATGTTTTAATGGTAATCAAAATTGCCACATATTATCTAAAATGTTAATTTACTTGCAATTAAGGAAAGTACACTATTTCTTTCATGTTAAGGCTTATTTCGTAAATAAAATCTGAGTGTCAACAACCTGCCAAGCCCTGGAGAGAGAAACAAAGAAGAAAGTCCCTGGCCTAAAGTATCAAAAACTCATGGAAAGACAAACAGGTAAACAACTACGATATGACAGACTAAAAAATGCTGTAACAGAGGCATGTATGAGGTCCAAAGAGGGAATACTGAAGCTGCCTGGTGGAAGCAGGAAGACTCTGTAATGAAGGTGATAATCTCTCAGAGAAGTAAAGGGGAGAGGTAACTAAAAAAGAATGTACTGCCTTGGCTGGTGTAGTTCAGTGGACTGAGTGTTAATCTATGACCCAAAAGGTCACCTGTTTGACTCCCAGTCAGGGCCCATGCCTGGGTTGCACACAAGGTCCCCAGCTGGGGGTGTGTGAGAGGCAACTGATTGATGTATCTTTTATACATCCATGTTTCTATCCCTTTCTCCCTCCTTTCCCCTCTCTCTAAAGATAAAAAAAAAGTACTATTGATATCATAACATGGTCACCAGACAGGGTGCATACTCAGAGCAAAAAGAGTAAAATATACTACTGTTTTCATTCTAGAAAAAATGTTTAAAGAAGGGGGCATAAACATTTTGTAAGTCTATGAAGCAAAACATTCCAAAGTCCAGACAGACTGAATTAAATGAAATTTTTGAATAAACCAAACACTGTATATACACTCTGAATCGGAAAGAATGAAAAAAGAGTAGGAGCAAAAGAGACACTTACCCCCTTTTGTAGTATCATTCTGGGCCTGGATGCCATGATGCAAGGAGTTGTGAATGGCAGAGAGAAGATCTGCTGCTTGAACCATCAATTTTTGAGCTTCTGCAACAGCACTGGTCTGGCAAATAAATCACCAAAAACATTCTTACATATTCTTTCACTGAAAGATATATATTAAATAGGAAAATCCTATAAACAATAATGAAATTAAATATTTGTTGTAATGTCACTGGTTTTCACAAACTATTAACTTAATCCAGGATGTCCGGATCCTGTTAGGATAGAAATAATTATTGTTTAGCCATATCCATATTTTGTAGGAGCCATTAAAAATGAATAAAAAATTATAGTTTATTCTATTAATCTTTTGTTTCAAAAAGAGAGATGCAACCAATTGGAAAATAGCAACATTTCTATTTTGTCATTCATGAAGGTGAAACAAACAAACAAAAACAGGAAAAAAGTATAGGAGTTAGAACAATGGTAAAAGTTGACTCGTTAGTCACCACTTATTAACTTTTCAAAAATTCATCTATAACTGAGATATACACACACACACACACACACAAATATTTACCATCTAGGACTTACTTTGGATCTACACAAATCTAACAGTTAATTATTTCTTGAATGAAATACCCTAAAATTCTCATTGTTACTTTCTCCTTTCAATTCACAACATATAAATAACTACCCTATTTTCAACAACATACATGCATGTTATGGAGCAGAATGTTAAGTTCATGAGACTTTTTGAGAAAATCGTCAGGGCTACTCTGCTGTAAATGCACCAAATGTCGAGTGCTGTGTATGTGCAACTGGGGGATTTCAATGGAAAAGTCTCAGAACTACTTCAATAAAGAAGTCCATCCAAGAGAAAACAGAAAAAGCTCCCACTAAAATAGAAAGATTACAGTCAATTCCCTTACCTCTTTCTTAGTAAAGGCAATAAGCACTGTCAGTAACACTCGAGTAAACTTCACTCTGCTGAATACTGCTAAACACTGTTGGTGCTAAAAAAAAAAAAAAAGAATTGAAAGTTAAAAAATGCAAAGTACGCCAAAACAAGTTCTTTTAAAAATATGTTTTAAGTTTGAAATCTCACTGTACAGCTTACTTCATTACAAAAACCTTCACTAAGGTTTTACATACCTGAAGACAGGAGCTTCAGCAAAACATAACAAAGCCTACTCTATCGAAATAAAAACACAAGGCTTCTATATCAACAAGGTTGATTTTTCCCTACGAGAAAAGTTATACTATCATCTCTAAAACAAATGTAATCAGTATTTTTAAAAGGACCGTTAAAAAAGTACTTTAAGCTGAGTTAGAAAATTTAGGATCTCAACAAAGGATTGTCAAAACTTTTGATTCTGTGCAAGTTCTTGATTTTTGCCAAACTTAGATGTACCATTTGTAAAAAGTCATTTTTTCTTCCTACCTCATAGGAATACTGAAGATTCAGCACTGAAATCATATATCTGAAAGAGCTGTATTATTATTCTATCAAAATAAATACAAGGGAAATAAAACCCCTTGCAATATCCAATTTTTAAAGAAATACCTTAAAAAGGGCTTCCATAAATTATAACGCAGTTCATAAAACTACAACATTAAGAGGAGACTTCTCTGATATTATCTACCAGAAAATAAGTTCAATTACTTCTAGTTCAACTTCTGGATCTCTTTCTTCTCCTTGTCGACTTCGAGTACTCTAAAATTTTAAAAAATGTGAATTAAAACAAACACAAGACTGCAGAAGCATTAAATCATAAATATACAAGGAAAAGCACTAAGTTAATCTATTGTAAGAATCTATTTTAAAAAAATGTCTGAGAGGGAAAAGAAGTTGTATTTAGTATTTCCCTCCTTAATAGGGAATATTACTATATTCAGAAAGTTAATCTTGATATAAATTACAAAGATCACACAAAAGATTAAGGTATTAAAAGCAGCAAAAGCAAACAGAATAATAACATAAGTAAAATCCCATGGCACCCGGCACTTCTTTCTTTTAAAAATATCTACTCATTGAAATTCCTAACGTTTTTAAAACTAATAACCCTACCAGGAAAAAAGTAATCTTTACAAAATCACATGATAAAAATTAAGCCACATAATAAATACTGATCCTTCTGCACTAAAATGCAAGACACCTTGTTAATACACAGGTAATATACGGTTGCCTATTTTGACAACATTCTAGGAAGATATAGTAGAAGAGCTGGTTTCTAGCACTGGAACAGCACTGGCTAGTGGCATGCCCTTAAGTAGGACTCAAACAGGTTACTCAGCTTTTTTGAGCTGTGTTTCGTTCACCTAAATGTGGGGCACTGTGTGTACTTCATTGTCTAATTCAGTAAATAACTGTAAATATCAAATAAGATGACAATGTAAAACTGCTCTGACAACCATGCTGTTATACGACTGTAAAAAAAAAAGTAGATATATGAACTTTTTTCCTTTTTTAGTCTCCATGGGAACCAAATCATCAAGGTCATTTGGCTGAAGGACATCATTCATAGAAGGCTTTTACTAGGTTTGGAATACCACCATTTACTGAGCTTTTCCACTGTCTTGTAGACACTTTCCTAGCTATTAAAGATACAAAGATAAAGATAGTCCTTACTTCGGAGTAACTGAACAACTCTACGGTATTATGCTACTTTCAAAATAGCATACGAAAATTCTAAAACACTGGCCCAAAATTGAAAAACTGAGGGTTAAATTTTCAATACTTGTGACATTAACTTATCAGAAGCTCCTATAACAGCCTAAATAAAACTCATTAACCAGAAGGCACTGCACACACAAAGGACCATATGCAAATGGTCCTACCTACATTAGCTATTTGTACTTAGTTAAAAGTTAACCTGCCATTTAGAACAAAAATGCTATACAAAATAGAAAAAATGTGTAAATACCTTTACTCTTCGTTGCATGTCATCCTCCACATCCTTTAGCATGCCTAGAAAGAGAGACAGTGAGGTGAAAAGGAAACAAACCCAAACATCAAATTCGTGAACTACCTTTATAAATAGCATTACCTGTAACTCGAAGATCTGTCACACTGTTGGCCATTTTAAATCCGTAAGTCATTGACTGAAAATCTTCCTAAAGAGAAAAGGAACAATTAAGTCCTTGAGCAGTAGCAAAACGTTTCCTTGTAGTTGTCTTATAAAATCACTATTTGCTAATAAGAAAACGGTAGTGGAATGACAGCCTGCTTGTCTAAATATTGCCATCCAGCACCCAAGCTTTCCTCATCGCTGTACCCTTAAACACCATATTCTAATACTTTCTGTGTCCATAATTTCAATTGCTTGTCCTTAGGCAATGCTTATCATAATATCACAAGGTCATTCCCATTTACAAAGTATTCTCACATTCACAGGTGAACAATACATAGTAATTACTGTTTGATTAAAAGACTGCAAGATTTAAACAAGGCTCTTACTTCAAAAATTATTAAATGTCTATTCCACTGTGAGGATACAAAGGTTAAACCTTCTCAAACATAATTACTCAAAGTGAGAACGAAACCACATTCTCACTTCAGCCCCATTCTGGAAAAAAAAAAAAATTCACACATGGATTCCCACCCTCAAAATCATTTAAAACACTACTGAGAAATTAACAAATTAAGTGGCTTGCTGACTTGCATTGAAGACTATTAATTTAAAATCATCTGGATAATTTGGTTAAGTCAGAAGCTCTAGTTAAGGAGTGTTTCTATCATATTACAATTCTTATAAAAAATATATATAAAAGCCTACCATAATGCATTAAGAGGTCTTTACAGCAGTGGCCAGGCTTGTAGCAAAATTTCTGAATTCTTAACAAACACACCAGTGACCATGCAATTCATGCCAGGTATTACTATCTTACAAACAGAAACAAACAAACAAACAAACAAACACAGGTTATGTCCCTGGTCTCAAAGAACTAGGTGTGTTACAGAGCTGTAAGGTTATCCTCTAGGTGAAGTTTATACTCTATCTCTACTTAAACATCAAACAGCATTCTCAAATTTTGTGTCTAAAAGAGTGTATTCTAGTGTTTACCACACTGCATGGTACCTCCATCTATCCAGTCACTCAGGCTAAAAGTTTGCACTTCAAGCTCTCTCATTTTCTCACAGCCCATATCAGATGCATCAGAAAACCCTGTAGGTTCTGTCTTCAATTTCTAATCTAACCATAGCTCATTCCTTTCACAGCTATCTCTATTTTGAGTCACTACCACCTCTCACTCCTGTAACTATCTCCAGATAGGTCCCAATGTTCCCACTTGTCCCTGCTACATTTGCCACCAGAAGTCAAAGGGATTATTTTAAAATAAGTCATTTTACAGCAGTTTTTTAAAAAAAATTTTATTGGTTAGGCTATTACAGTTGTCCCATTTCCCCCCCTTTGCTCCCTTCCACCCTACACACCCCTCCCACCTACATTCCCAGCCTTTAGTTCATGTCCATTTGTCATACATATAAGTTCTTTGGCTTCTATATTTCCCATACTATTCTTACACTCCCCCTATTTTCTGCCTACCGTCTATGCTACTTATTCTCTGTACTTTTCCCCCCTTTCACTTCTCTATTGATAACCCTCCACGTGATCTCCATTTCTGTGGTTCTGTACCTGTTCTAGTTATTGCCTTGGTTTGTTTTTGTTATAGGTGTGGTTGTTAACCATTGTGAGTGTGCTGTCATTTTACTATACATGTTTTTTATCTTCTTTTTCTTAGATAAATCTCTTTAATGTTTTATATAATAAGGGCTTGGTGATGGTGAACTCCTTTAACTTGACCTTGTCTGGGAAGCACTTTATCTGCCCTTCCATTCTAAATGAAAGCTTTGCTGGATAGAGCAATCTTGGATGCAGGTCCTTTGCATTTCATGACTTGGAATACTTCCTTCCTGCCCCTTCTTGACTGAAAGGTCTCTTGAGAAATTAGCTGACAGTCTGATGGGAACTCCTTTGTAGGTAACTGCCTCCTTTTCTCTTGCTGATTCTAGGATTTTCTGCTTTATTTTTATCTTGGGTAATGTAATGATGATGTACCTTGGTGTGTTCCTCCTTCCAACTTCTTTGGGATTGTCTGAGCTTCCTTGACTTCCTAGAAGTCTATTTCCTTTGCCAGATTGGTAAAGTTCTCCTTTATTCTTTGTTCAAAATTCTTTTCCACTTGTTGCTCTCTCTCTTCTCCTTCAAGTATCCCTATAATCTGGATGTTGGAACGTTTAAAGATGTCCTGGAGGTTCCTAAGCCTCTCATTTTTTTGAATTCTTGTTTCTTCATTTTTTCTGGTTGGTGTTTCTTTTTTCCTTCTGGTCCACACCATTGATCTGAGTCCCATTTTCCTTCCCATCGTTATTGGTTCCCTATACATTGTCCTTTATTTCACGTAGCATAGCCTTCATTTTTTTTCATCTAACTTGTGACCATATTCAACCAATCTGCGAGCATCCTGATTACCAGTGTTTTGAACTGTGCATCTTAATAGGTTGGCTACGTCTTCATCGCTTAGTTGTATTTTTCCTGGAGCTTTGATCTGTTCTTTCATTTGGACCATTTTTTTTTTGTCTTGAGGTGCCTGTTACATGGTGAGGGGTGGAGCCTTAGGTATTCACGGGGGCAGGGCAACCCACATTGCTGGGTTGTGGCGCTGTATGTGGGACAGGGGTCCAAGAGGGAACAATGGCACTTGCTCTGCTTTCTGATCGCTTCCAGTCACTTCCCCACTTCCCACAAGCAAACTGGGCCCTTCTGGTGCTAATTCCCATGTAGGTGGGTTTGTGTACATTCTAGGACCCTATGGGTCTCTCCAACAAACTCTCCTGTGAGGCTGGGAGTCTCTCCCAGCGCCTCAACCCCCCCACAAGTATTTTCAATCAGTGTTTTGAGGCTTTATCTCCCTGCTGTGGGACCATGGGTTGTGCGGTCCATCCCGCCACCCAGTTTTGCCTGGTTTATCAGCACACAAATGTGGGACTGCCTAGTGTGCCAGCCAACGCTTTGCCGAGAGTCCTCTTCACCCAGGCTGTCTGACTCCACCCCTCCTATTGGTATGAATAAATGTGTCTTCTTTAACTTCTTGGTTCTTGGACTTCCATACATTCGATTTTCTGTCAGTTTTGGGGGTTTTCTGTTTTTAAATTGTTGTTGTCCTTCTTTTGGTTGTGCGAGGAGGCACAACCAAAACCTAATGTCTACTTCTACTTACACCTCTATCTTGGCCAGAAGTCCCATTTTACAGCACTTTCTAATTAAAACCTAGTTTCTTTCCTCACAGGAAAACCCAAAAGCCCACCAGGGCTGCTACAGCCCTCCCACCATGGGCTCTGGTTTCCCTCTCCAATCTCATTTCCTACCCACCACTCTCCTCCACGTTCAAATACATCTCTTCTCAGGACCTTTATACTTACTGACCCCCTCTCCAAAATTATTTTCTTCAAAAGAATTACAAAGCTCCAGCCTCTGTTGCAATGTCAATTCCTCATATAGATGTTTCCCCTGAGCATTCTCTCTAGAACAGCCTCCTCCCCTTTCCCTGGCTGTATTTTTCATAAAACTAGTCACCACCTGACATTATACATGTATTTGCTTACTTGCACACTGACTATCCAAATGAACGCATAATTCATGAGATCAGGACTTTGCTTTATTCATTATTTTATTCCAGGACTTAAGAATAGTGCTTGGTACAGAGTACTTTTCAACATATATTCAGTGAATGAATGATGACTCACCATAGGGCCAAGGCCAACAATGTAAGCAGCGGGTAACTTTCCTGAGTAATTAAGGCTAGTTACAGATACCTTGAGGACTGGTGGAGACCATAGCAAAACAGAGAATATACATTTCATCTAAAGGAAGTCAATCACTAGCTACCCTCTTGTGGCCATGAATCAATACAAGGCTAGTGTAGTAAGGTCTCATAATTTTTCAGAACAAAAACCTAATTTAATGTAAAATCTTCCAATTTTTAAATGTTACCCATTTTTTAAAAATTGAGTAGGCTAGCACTGTGATGATAACACAAAAAAACCCACCTGTAAGCCCTATCTGTGAATTGTGAATTTGCCAAGGGAGTCTAAGAAAAGCATTTGTCTGGGAGAATGTCATAGGTCTGTGTAGTAAATACAAGCCTTGATAACAGGATATTAACACAAGTCACGGGAGGGCTGAGGCAGAGATGCTGGATAAACGGAAGCTGCCATTAAAAGATCATTCTGAAAACTTTGTGTATTTAAAGAAAAAAATCAAAGTGAAACCAGAAACTGGACACAATCCAACAGTCTAAGCAGGAGGTGATGGTGATTTGCACTGAAGGTGAGAAGTGGCTGAAATCAGTATATGTGTAAAAAGTAAAGCCAACATGATGTGCCAAAGAACTGAATTATGGAGTATAAGGTAAACTGTACAATCGAGCATCGTGTTTTGGGTTTTGGTCTGAACAACTGCTAAATGATAGAACCATTTACTGTGTTGGGGTAGACTTGGGGAGGAACAGGATTAAAGGCAGAAATGGAGTAAAATGTTGGTTATATAAAGTCTGCAATTTCTTTGATCAACCGAGTGAAGATTTTGGGAAGTTACTTGCTTGAGTCTGGAAGTCAGGGGAGGAATCAGAACTAGAAATGTAAATTTGGGTTTCATCAGCATACAGGAAGTATTAAAAGCCACAGAACTAGAGGAAATCTACAGAAGGAGAAGGTATAGAAGACAGCGAAACCCAGGAGTATTTCAGCATCTAGGGAAACAAGCACAGGAAATGGAATAACCATGGGAAGAAAGGAATCTAAGACAGGGCTGTATCAGGAAGATGAGAAGAAAGTGTATCAGAGAGTGGCCAGCCGGGTCAAAGGATGCTGACAGGCAGAAGAGAGCAGCGTGAGAACAATGGATTTAGTAAAATGGGTATCACTGAGGATCTTGTTAGTACCAGTTTATATGTAGTGCTAGAAAAGAATGTCCTGTTGGAGAATGTCCAAGTGGGTGAGAAGAGAGTGACAAAGAGTAAAATGAATAAGGATTAAGAGTCCATTTAAGGAAGTTTTGTGTAGGGTAGCAGAGAAATGGAATTATAGATACAAAGAGCCATGGGTCAAGGGA